TTTTTTTTTTTTCAGAAAAAACCTTTGTCCCCATCTCTTTTTAACCTGGGTGCTTCTCTCCAATCCGAGGCAACGTTTCGGTGTGTGTTAAGGCTCGGCTGTTGCCCCCGAGCGAGAAAAGTCTATCCTGTGTTGTGTTGTTTACTAACCCCATTTGCACTCCCGCTGAAGATAAAGGAATCAATCGAGGGAATATGAGTAACCAATCTCAGATGCACTTCACGGTGCATTCCCTTGAATAATAAAAAATAATCACATAAGAAGCTGGCTAAATACCCTCTGGGTGAAGGCCAATAAAAAAGAAGAAGAAGAAGAAGTACATAGTATCTATCTATGGTGAAATGTCAATATTGTCAATTGGTGAATATGCCATGAATATGTTTTGTTGTTGAAAGGTAAAACCAATTTTAAAACAAAGAAATAAATTTGAATACGTAAATAAATTGTTCTTTAGATATTTTGCAATGAGTAAACATACAGAAATTATTCTTGATGCTAAAGAAACAAAAGTTCAAGAAAATATCGCAAATTGGCAGTCGGCAAATGATCCTTTAGCACCTCTTTCCGATGACCAAATGGATTTGATATATGAAGTAAGTGATTTGGTTGCAAAATTGTATGGTAAACGCAATAAAAACAGAGAAAATTCAGATAAACTAAAAGAAGGAAGCCCTCCTCAAGTCATATATAAAATGCAAGACTACATTCAGTGGTTGACTTCTGTGGAAAATGATGTAAAACATGATAATCTAAAACAGTATCAGAAATATTATGAATTTGTGTCTAAGTACCACGCTAACTGTAGGAATTTATTTTCTTGTTCCAACGACACATTGGAATCATTAAATGATTTGAAGGAAAAGTATCAAGATGTAACTGAAAAAACAAATTATTTACACGACTTAAGTGAGCAACTCATGGCACATCAAAGAATTTTAAAAGAGAAGAAAAACAGCCTTAATAGTAAATTAAAATATTTTACATATTTTAATAAATGTCAAGAAAATATAGAAAGACTAAACCAAAAGATAAATAGCCCAGAATGTTTGGAAATATTGGACAATATAGATGAAAGTATAAGTTATTTAAATGATCATTTGCAATTTAAAGAATCGAGAATATATAAAATGAAGTATGAAAGTTTGCTTAACACATTATTAAATAAAATATACGATTTTGTAAATCACATTTTATTAGAAACCACAAAACAAGTTGTAGATCCAGATTTCAAAAGTCATGTATTACCTCAAGCACCAAACAATACAGAGGCTTCAGTGAATTCAGCATTCTCATTATATTATGGCAAGTTTCAAAGTATTTCAACTAAAGTTAAATTTATTTTGAGCAACCTAGAAGATCGAGAAGATAGAAATGATCAATATAAAAATATAATAAACGATTGTCAAAAAACATACCTTACGCAGAGGTTACCCATTTTAAGCATGGCAGTATCTAAGGCTCTAACTGAACTCAAGGATAATCACAAAAGTGACCATAGTGTTTTATTTAGGTCTTGTTCTTTATTTACAATGAAAGTGTGTCAGGACGAAGCTAGATGTTATAACTACTTTTTTAGCAGAACGTCTAGTCAACTTAATGACTATTTGGGGTCCCTTTGTCAACATTTATATGACACCTTAAGACCTAGTCTCATCTCGATAAATCATATAGAAGTATTAAGTGAGCTATGTGGGATTTTGAAAGGTGAAATGCTCGGTGAGAAAGTAGTTTCTAATGATCAGCTTTCTAAATATGTCGAAGTAATAAAACAATTGTTGCAAGACGTAGAAGAAAGATTAGTATTTAGAGTGAATGTGTTTTTCCAACATGATCTAAATGGATATAAGCCTTCGCCTGGCGATCTCGCTTACCCAGATAAATTGGTACAAATGGAAAATATTGCATTAGAAATAAAAGAGCAGAGACCGGAGTCTAGAAGTTCCGCCATTTCTGTCGACTCGCAAGAAGTAGCTCAAATTAACACTGCCCAGATAACTCATTTTCGTTCATATACAGGTATTTATCTTTTATAAAATCGTGAAAAAATAAGTACTTTTCGATAATTTGGTACAGAGGAGTTAAAATACATAGTATATTCCAGAGATAGCTTCTTAAGCTCGTGAGAATAAAGTGATTTAGTTCAAGTTCTCTCAATACAATTTTGATCACCTAAACGCGCATTTTTATGTGTAGGCAAAGACGCTGAAAAGAGTTACCTCTGTATACATTCTTTCGTATCTGTGGTCGGGACGCTGAGATGCTCTACAAATTTTCCTTTCCTGAATTTTCATGCAGACGCTGTGATACTTAGACGCTAATTTTACATTGCCTACTTTATCGTCTGTACTGTGTGTATTTGCACTGTATACGTGATCAGATAGTTTTCATGCAGTTGATATGTCATAACTCATAAATGAAATATAAACATTATTTATGGATGAAATGGTTGGGAAAACATAACCTACAAATATAAAATGTGTGTCTTTGTCTTTTCATCTGTTGCAATTACAAAAGAACATGTCCAGAACATCCAAATGTCAATAGGGAANTACAGAGGAGTTAAAATACATAGTATATTCCAGAGATAGCTTCTTAAGCTCGTGAGAATAAAGTGATTTAGTTCAAGTTCTCTCAATACAATTTTGATCACCTAAACGCGCATTTTTATGTGTAGGCAAAGACGCTGAAAAGAGTTACCTCTGTATACATTCTTTCGTATCTGTGGTCGGGACGCTGAGATGCTCTACAAATTTTCCTTTCCTGAATTTTCATGCAGACGCTGTGATACTTAGACGCTAATTTTACATTGCCTACTTTATCGTCTGTACTGTGTGTATTTGCACTGTATACGTGATCAGATAGTTTTCGTGCAGTTGATATGTCATAACTCATAAATGAAATATAAACATTATTTATGGATGAAATGGTTGGGAAAACATAACCTACAAATATAAAATGTGTGTCTTTGTCTTTTCATCTGTTGCAATTACAAAAGAACATGTCCAGAACATCCAAATGTCAATAGGGAATGCTACTAATATATTCAAATTTATTTATTTATTAATTTTAACAACAAATAAATAGATTTGCATGCACAATAATTCGAACTGACAGCCTGAATGACAACGGACGCCATGACGCAGAAAAGTCCCTTAGAACTTTTCAGTGTCGACGATACAATGCAAGATTAACTGCAACCATTGTTAAAAAAGCTATAGTGAGGAGTTCGTCTCAGCATCTTGGCATCTGCATGAAAAGGAACACTAAGAAAGTACAAACCTTGTAATAACTTTCTCTCTCTTTTCAAGATATTTCTGTGCTTAATGTAGGAGGGTTTTTGAGCAGACGTTTACTTTTTGTTTAGAACATAGAGGCCGCTAAGAACACCTTAAAGATTCCGTTTCTTTTTTGCTATACAGGGAGTTCCTAAATAAGTGTCGCAACGGAAAACTGTAAATTCCTCTTGAAAAAAGAAACATTATTTTCCTCTTCCATTTTTCTCTCCGGGTCTTCGTTTTCGAGATACACGGTGTCAAAATTTTCATTTTAAAAAAATTTTTTGCCAATATCTTAGGAACCGTTTGGACTACAGGACCGAGTTTTTGTACACGCATTATCACTATTAATAGCTACTTTTTCGCACCCTTCATTGAACGTGCCAGTGGTGGAGATTTTAAGGTATCGTCAGGGTTTTTCTCCCCTAACTTTTATGCCACTGGAAAAATTGACATGTGACAGCAAATTCTGAAGCGCCAATGAATTTTACACAAAAAGAGTTCTCTTGGTTCATTGCTCTAAAGTCAACCGTTTTCAAGAAAAATTACTTTTTATGAACAAAAACAAACATTTTGCTAACATTTCGAAAAAGATAGGTAGTAATAATTAACAATTTTATTGAAATTTAACAACAAGTAGCTATTAATAGTGGTAATGTATGTACAAAAGTTCAGTCCTGTAGTTCAAACGGTTCCTAAGATATTGGCAAAAACCTGAAAAAAAGTTTTGACACCGTGTATCTCGAAAACGAAAGCCCGGAGAGAAAAATGGAAGAGGAAATAAATGTTTCTCTTTTCAAAAGGAATTTACAGTTTCCCGTTGCGACACTTATTTAGGAACACCCTGTATATTTTTTGTATTTTGAGAAAAATGAATTTCCATTTTTTACTGTTAACCAACAGTCAAACATTAGGGAGTATTCTAATGTAATTAAACTGAAAATGAAGTAGGTTTAACGTTTTTTTTTTTTTTGATAAAACAGTAACTATCTAGTTTTGCACAGTCAGATCCACTTATAACAATTGCGTTTAAATGAAGAAAGTGCTATATGAAATGGCTTAACGAAAAGTCTTCAATTCACTCTCGTTATATTCACTATTTAAATTGTTAATTAAAAACAGTTACTTAATCTGTAATTATTTTAATTTATTTTCAGGCAACTCGCCTGCAGATCTTCATGGAATGTGGTATCCTACCGTGAAGCGAACACTTGTGTGTTTGTCAAGGCTTTATTTCTGCCTAGATCGTGACACATTTCAAGGATTGGCTCAAGAGGCACTAGTTATTTGTGCAAAAACTGTGCAGAGTGCATCTGATCTGATATCTACTAAAAAAACTCCTATAGATGGGCTACTGTTTCAAATAAAACATTTATTAATAATTCGGGAGCAAATTGCCCCGTTTCAAGTCGACTTTACTGTCAAAGAAATGGCATTAGATTTTAGTACTGTACAAAAAGCTGCTATTGATTTAATTCATCACAGAAATAATATATTTACTTTTGGATCAAATAATGCATTACTGGAATTTCTGCTAGAAGGAACTCCTAAAGTGAAAGAATATTTAATCGACTCCCGTAAGGAAATTGACAAACAACTTAAACATTCCTGTGAGGCATTTATTTTGCACGTTACTCAACTACTAATAGGTGAGTTCTACATTACTAAATACACTTTAGCATGCTTACACATTATTTTGTAACGTTAGTTGAAAAATTGCATCTAATAGTGCACAAAGGCATATTAAATGGTTCGATTGATGTTTATTTTTTAAATATTTTTCAGGTAATATTAGTAACTGGATTCAAAAAGCAGAACATATTTTGAAAATTATTCAGGCAGAAAATTCTGTTTCTCAAGAACTTACCGTATCAGGACAAGATTTTGGGAAACCCAACGTTGTGGCAGACATCATACAGGAAGCGCAAAAAAATATTAAAGTTAAATTACCAGAAGTTCAGCGATCCATGCAACTTTATTTAGCTAACAGAGAAACTGAATTTATCTTATTTCGACCTATTAAGAATAATATCATAAACTTGTTTATGCAGTTGGATCAAATTCTTATTAAAGGTTACAGCGTTGAGGATCAATTACTTATAGCATGTCCATCGCCAGAACAAGTCAATATTCTAGTATGTTCTGTCTCATTGACTAGTCGGCAAGATAACGTAAGAACTACCATATAAAACAATAGACAAAATACTTATATTTTCCGATTTGTTACGTTTCTCTAATATACAGGGTGATTTTAAAGTTGAGACATTTAAACAGAAAAATAATGCTACAAAAAACTCGCCCTGTATTGTTTGACGAAATCTTTATTTAACTGGAAATTAAGAATACATAAAACTAAAGCAAATCATAATTGTGCCCTCTGTCGGGGACGTATTTTCCTAAGGGGGTGATTGCCCAGGCTGTTGCAGAGTATTTCTGGGTTTTTTCCTGATATTTTACATTTAATAACAGGTACTGGGGCTTATGTTCGCCCAGGGCAGATAATTTAATTAATAATAATAATAATAGTAAGTCGAAAGTTGATAATAATGACATTCGATTTGAACTAAAATGTGTAAATTCAAATAAAAATTTATACAGGGTGTCCCAGAATATGTGGGCAATCCCTCGGATTTATACAGGACATTAAAAATAATTAAATTACACAAAGTATTTTGTTATTAAAAAAAATGATTTTTAGGGGTGTTCTTTACCTGTATCTCCATAGGAAGGACAATTTTTATAGGAACTTGTCATGTTATTTTAACATCCCCTGTATAAATCCAAGAGATTACCCACATGCTGGGACATCCTGTATAAGGAGTTTTTAGCGAAATTATACAGTTGGCATTTGGTTACATAAACTGTAATTTGTAACGATTGATTAGATTTTACAATACGTGTAAAATTAATAATGTACAAGCAAGTAAAAACGTGATTTTTTTTGTATTGGCTAAAGGTTTGGAAATTTCTTGGAAAAGTTACTTAAAAAATAGTTTATCTTGTTTAGTTCTACACACTGTTATAAAAAATGCCTCAACATAGAAATCCTCAATATTTATACCAAAAATTAATTTATAATTATTTACGGTTTTAATAAAAGTTTTTGGGACAGACATCTTTTTATTTTATTGCACCTAATTCACCTGTACACCCAGGGCCGGATTAACCTATGGTAAGGCCCGAGGCTGAAAGGGCCTTTTTTATAAAAAAATCGATATAAAATTTTAGTCTAAACACTCGGGTTTAATTCTAAAAATAAAAAAATCAGCGACTTGCCAATATAAAATTTATAGAGATCGGCACTTTTCGGAAAAGTGTGTTACGAATATGTCTGAAATGTCCGGACATATCGGTAAAATTACTTTTGACCTTGAATCCACTTGAGAGCACACAGCAAAATATTACTTTTATTCCAATGAATATGCGTCGATATATTTTATTTATTACCTACCTTTAGACTTTTTTATAAACTGGTTTCTAATTTTCCCCGGACAGCCTATACACTTATTTAAATGTTTTTCCATCCTACTGGAATTCTTAAAAATTGTTTTTGAGTAGAAGTTACATTTATAATGATTTTTACTCAATTCAGAAAAATATAACCACTGTTGATTTTGGCATCATACTTCATTTATACACAATTTGTGTATTAAATATTAATTTAAGAATCAACTAATTACTTATCGTTAACTTTGCCGAAAATAATAAAATATGGACATATAAAAGAGATTATATTTTTAAAATGTCAGTTTCAGTTAAACAATTACCAACAAAATTACAAGGAAATGGCTAAATATCTTTAATTTTACCTGTACCAACCTCAAAAATTTTTTGCGGGAATTATGAATGCAACAAATAATTGCGTGGATGCGCATACAACTTTTTAATCTTGAAGTGTTCTCAGTGTCCATTTTTCTGATGGACATGTCCAACCATATGACTTATAAATAAATTTTTAGTTACTCATATGTGTCCACGTCCAACTAACATGTCCGCGGCACATCTTTAAAAATTTCAAAACCTAAACACTTCTTGGTTTGATTAAAAAAAAATTACGCAACCAGCAACTTGCCTATATAAAATTTAAAAACCTAAATCGTTTAACGTAGACTGATGAAATAATTGAGTTGTTATATTGAAAGTAAAAAATCGTTGAGTTTGTTTGCATGTCACTAGAAACTCCAAAATTTCAACTCCACTGATAATTTTAGAAGTTTCAATCAATATTTTTAAATACCAGTGTCTCTTCTGACAAGTAACACTACCCAACTATCACTCACTGATTGGAATCAAACTTGGCACATCGATAGAACTCTAAAAATTTTTTATTTTCTCGGCATTCGCTTTCAAGGGGTAGAAACCACCCCTAGAAGACGGTAAGAGCGAAAATCTCCATAAATGAAATAAAAAAAATACATATTTATCAACCAAATAAGACCCTTTCCACTCCAAGCCTACCCCTCTCCTGAACTAATCAACCCCTTTACCTCAAACTCCCAACTAAACCTTTCCATCCTAGCTTCACTCCACCAACCTAAACCAACCAGATTCTCTTGCCCTCACCAACCCCCCCCCCCTCCCTCATGTACAGTGTTCTTGATTATTGAGAGTCCCCTTGCCTCTCCCGTTGGGGACGCTTGATTAGCGTGAGTGCCCTTGCCTCTGCTGCTGGGGGGTGCTGCTCACTGAGGAAAAAAAACACGATATCATTATATCAACTGATATCCCCTATTTTACATATTCATTACAATAAGTGGTGAATATACTGCATGGAAAGGTTTAATTGGGCGTTTGATGATGGGGTAAAGGAGTCGATTGGTTTAGGAGAGACTTGCAATGGGAGGGTTAGCTTGGGTAGATAGAGTGAGCTGATAAGTGTTTTTTTTTATTTCATTTATGGAGATTTTCGGTCATACCGTCTTCTAAGGGTGGTTTCTACCCCTTGAAAGCGAATTCCAAAATAAAAAAATACTGGTTCAATGTCTTTTTTAGAGTTCTATGAAAGTGTTAAGTTTCATGCCGATCGGTGAGTGACGGTTGGGTAGTGTTACTTGTAAGAAGAAAATCCTAAATTTTGTGTCTTGAAAATCAAAGTGTCATATGTACTTTCCATATGAAACTTTTTATACTCATTCGGAAATGCTTTTAATCCCCTTTACTAATTTTTCAAGTGACTGTTTCAGTCAATGTAAATACTTTTCAGTATCCAAATGGTTATTGAAGCTAATTTGAAAAATTTTAATTTATTTTTTTGTTAAAATAAAATGAGCTATTAGATACTAAAAAATATATTTGTTAAATTTCCTTTTAAGATATACAAATACAATATAATAAAACCTTCAGCAGCACCATGATGATTTATTTGTCCCTTCCGCAACACCACCAACCCTAATAGAGGATGCTGGAGGTAAAAATGGTTTCTGATTTTTTAACTTATGAGCTAGCGTTAAAAATATAGCTTCTACATTATCACATTGAGAATCCAGTCTGGCTGAAGTTTCGAATAACTAAAATAATAAAACACATTTAAAATAATGTTTAGTCAGATATATAATTATTTTACGGGCATATTATGTTGGTCTGCAAATTGTTGAGCCATATTTGTTGCAACTGCAGCAGTCCCATCACATTTATTTCCTACTAAAATTCGTGGAACATCTGGCAGACAGTGCTTGTTACTTTCAACTATCCATTTTTTTAAAGACTCAAATGAGGCCTTATTGGTTACATCATACACAAATACAATTGCATGTGTGTTTCTATAATAGTGGCGTATCATTGACATACGATATCTTTCTTGCCCAGCTGTGTCCCATAATTGTAACTAAAAAGTTCATAATTACTAGAATAAGGTAGTTGGAGTGTGTATTTAATAACAACATTAAGTGCTGTTTCCTTTGAATCTGATCAGGTCATAATATAGCTTACCGATATATTTTCTCCATCTATATTAACAGTACGATTTCTAAAATCTACGCCAATTGTAGCCTCAGCCAATTCTAAAAATTTGCCTTCACAAAATCTATATGTTAGTGTAGTTTTTCCTACATTTGAATCTCCTATAACAATTACTTTAAAAACTTTTCCTTGATTATGTATAAATGAGCTTGTATTAGTTGTTACATTAGTCATTGCCATTACTTTTATGATTCATAGAAATCGTTAGAGTAAAAATAGTGAATGATGTTATTAAAAGAATATATTAACTTTCGGATTTAATCGATATGTAAAATTTTAATACAAATTAGTAATAGTTTCTTTCTATCTGCATTTTTTGTGCAAGTATACTAGTGACTGTACCACCTTGTAGCGAATCTTTATAGACCACTACACTTCTGAAATATCTTAAGTTGTGCAGTTTTTGAACAAAGCACTCATTTTTTTATAAATTTATGACATTCAACAAACTAATAAACAAATTGATAGATAATTGATAATTCATTAATTCTGGGATTTGTGACGAAAACTAAACTTGACATTTACATCTGTCACTTTTATATTTGAAATATTACGTCACTTGTCAAATCTGTCAAATTTTTAAAGTTAGGTTGTGTACGAAAATGGCGTAAAGATTTGTTTAGAATAAAATAAATAGGGTGTGGCTGTTATGGTATATTAAAAACTGTTATAAATCCACTAATACATTTTACAGTAAGTCTATATAAGCAAGGTACATTGCATAGAAAAAAATTACATACGTCAAACTGTTTAGAGGTTATAAGTAAACCAAAGGATGGTATGTTTTGTTTAAACTTTCAACTTTAATTAAAACATAATGATACTTTTACAAGATAAACAAAATGAATTTATAAAGTGTGATTAAAAAATGTCACGTTTAGCTGATTACTTTGTTGTTGTGGGATATGATCATGAAAAAGAACGTAAGACGATTGACCTGCAGTAAGTGCTTTTATTATTATATTCACTAATTTTTAGGAAGTGGTATTAGTAGTGGAATAATTTTGCAAAGATTTCCTGAAAGGGATTGGCCTGACACGCCATTTATTGAAGGAATCGAATGGGTACTGGTGAACTACATTTTTCACATGNAGTAGCTCGAGTTCAAGTACCTCTTATGAAAACGAATTTACTGAAGAGGATTTAATTAGTAGTGACGATGAGGATCTCCTTGTGGAGGAAAGGGAGAGACCAAAAAATCAAAATTTTGTCCAGATTATTGTTCCACAATTCAACAATACAGAATTCATCGAACACTTTCGAGTGAGTAGAATAGTTTCTGAACAGATTTCGAATCGCTTTGCAAATTCGGAGTATTTTACGTACCAGTCTGGAGGAAATGGAAAGCTGGATTCATATTATCACGTGTTGATTTATTTATGGTTTATAGGACATCAAACTGCTTCATTTCGAGATGTTGCAGACAGATTCAATATAAGCATTAGCACATTGCATAAGATAATACGAAAAATGACACATTTTCTAAGTAATTTATCACATGAAGTTATAACATGGCCATCAAATGCTGAGAAAATAGAGATAGAACATTATTTTCGAACGAAAGGGTTTCCTGGTGTTATAGGCGCAATCGATGGATCCCATGTCAAAATAGACAAACCAACAAATGACCCCGATTCTTACTTAAACAGGAAACACTTTTTTTCCATTCAGGTAAAAAATACAATTTTGCTGATTCCTTATACATTTGTGAATGTAAAAATTTAGTTTCAGGTAGTATGTGATCATCGGAGAAAAATAAGAGATATCTTTGTTGGTTTTCCAGGATCTGTACATGACAGCAGGGTATTTAGGGCATCACCTCTATCAGGGAGCCTGCCTGATAAATGCGGTCCTTTCTTTATAATAGGAGATAGTGGCTACCCCTGTCTACCTAATTTATTAACACCATTCAAAGATTTTGGTAATCTGACAAGAAGGCAACAACATTATAACCTAACATTGTCACAAAATAGGTATCTAGTGGAACACTGCATAGGTATTTTAAAACAAAAATTCAGGCAGTTATACCATGTTAAATTGAGAAGTATACCTGAAATCACACATTTCATCAGAGCATGCTGCGTTGTACATAATTTATGCTTAGATGACGATTTTCCTGATGAAGGCGCAGATGCATTAAATTTAACATTGCAAAGGAATATAGAAGCTGTGTATGAGCACGAGAGGGAGAATGAGGGAAACGAAAATAGAGATGACGTGACTGGCATACAACGAAGAAGGAATGTTATGAATATGTTACCACTATAAATATTTTTGTGTAAAGAATATTTTTCTTATTAAACAGTAATCAAAGTTTTTGTTTTTCATTTAACAAATCCACTAGTATATGTTTCTAAGATTTTAAAGGTTTACTTTGGCTATTAGTTTATATTTGTTTTACACTACAATATGCACAATGAATTGTATTGAAAGTTAGGAAGAATATTACCAATCAATCTTAAATGTTCGTATTGGCAGTCTAGGTGACTGAAAACCCACTCGTACGAGTTTATACCTTAGAATCTTAAAACAGGTAGGATCATATGTTCTAAGGTTTATGTCAACACAGTGAAAGAGAACGTTTTTATTAATATTTAACCAATGAGTATTTAACCAATAAATATCTGACTCAATTAAAATTTATGGTGATAAAACACATTTATTAAAATAAATAATAAAAACAACAGAAAACAAACATCTCTAGCATCTATAAACATAAAAAAATGTATAAGTTTATGTGGTTATATTTCATCAGGTAGTGTAATATTGTTCTGTACATTTAATTTTAATAACTTATTTCTCTCTTCAATTAAATCATTTTTCCTCTTTTTTTTCAATATGTCTTTCTTTCATAACATGTAATCTTTCTTTCTCTACTCCCAATTTTTCTCTCTGTATTTTTAACATTTCTTCATAATACTTCTGTTTATCTTGTCTTGTCAACTCTAAAACACTATTCTTTGCTTCTATTCTGCGACGCCGTAACCTTGGTGTCAAATTTTTACCCTTAGCTAATTGTGGCGATGGGGTAAGTCCAACAATACCACTAATAATCGTCTCATTTTCTTTATTTTTTTCAATAACGTCGCTCATTGTAGATGTTCCTTGGTCAGTGCAAATTTCATCTTGCTCACTGTCAACATTTACACTATTATTTGCAGGTTTTACTGTGTGGATAATAGTACTATCTAATAAAAGTTCTGGATGAATATTCCTCTTTTTGCCAAATATCTCTTGCAAATCTTTCTCATACATAAAGGTCTTTCGACCTCTGCCCGTTTTATTATTGTTGTCGATTATCTTTTTATAATTCCGCTCCAACACCCTCCAACGATTTTCCACTTGAGCTGGAGTAAAATTAGTACGTAAAATTTCATTAATATGGTCAGCGATAAATTCCCATAATTTTTTAAGATTCCTTATATTTAATGTTCCTACTTTGCCACTGTTTTCTTTATAACTATTTATTAATATTAATGTAGCATTGTGGCTCCAGGATGTTTCATTACTACACGAGGACAATGGTTGTCCAAATTTTGACTTGAGATTGAGAATATGAAGGTTGATGTTGACTTTGACTCAGTTGAGTTTCTATTATTAAAAATTCTTCCAGTTCTGAAATTGTACAGAAGATTTACTTAATCGAAGTAATAGATTTTTACAAAGTTTCAACAAACCTTCCATAATTCAGCTTCTTCTTATTCTAGTTTAAATTTGGTGAATATCTGTTGCTTGTATTTCGCGGATAATAAACTGATTGAACTGTAGTCAGTATCATTTATCTAGGACTGTAGTTTAGTGTTTAGTTGTTTACACATATTTGAAGGTTAGGTTCACACCTAAACAGGTAAATCGCACGCTTCTCGCAACATGATATCCAACTTTTCAAACTAAAATCTCCCAAATACCCAGATACGCGTTCTTGCAGTATAAAAAATACAAACAGTTTGGAAACAGTTTCCAACCGCGCATGCGCATAAGGTACAGTTTGCAAACTATCAGAAATTTGCTGCAGAAACAAACCTTATATTTGAAATATTACGTCACTTGTCAAATCTGTCAAATTTTTAAAGTTAGGTTGTGTACGAAAATGGCGTAAAGATTTGTTTAGAATAAAATNAATATCTTAAGTTGTGCAGTTTTTGAACAAAGCACTCATTTTTTTATAAATTTATGACATTCAACAAACTAATAAACAAATTGATAGATAATTGATAATTCATTAATTCTGGGATTTGTGACGAAAACTAAACTTGACATTTACATCTGTCACTTTTATATTTGAAATATTACGTCACTTGTCAAATCTGTCAAATTTTTAAAGTTAGGTTGTGTACGAAAATGGCGTAAAGATTTGTTTAGAATAAAATAAATAGGGTGTGGCTGTTATGGTATATTAAAAACTGTTATAAATCCACTAATACATTTTACAGTAAGTCTATATAAGCAAGGTACATTGCATAGAAAAAAATTACATACGTCAAACTGTTTAGAGGTTATAAGTAAACCAAAGGATGGTATGTTTTGTTTAAACTTTCAACTTTAATTAAAACATAATGATACTTTTACAAGATAAACAAAATGAATTTATAAAGTGTGATTAAAAAATGTCACGTTTAGCTGATTACTTTGTTGTTGTGGGATATGATCATGAAAAAGAACGTAAGACGATTGACCTGCAGTAAGTGCTTTTATTATTATATTCACTAATTTTTAGGAAGTGGTATTAGTAGTGGAATAATTTTGCAAAGATTTCCTGAAAGGGATTGGCCTGACACGCCATTTATTGAAGGAATCGAATGGGTACTGGTGAACTACATTTTTCACATGAATTAAGTATATTTAATATTATATGTATTTTTAGTTTTGCCAGCCACAAGGATGGGCCTTATCAACAGAAAGGCAAGAGCCCAGATTCTTTGTATCTGTACTTACAGATATAGACGCAAACCGTCATTATTGTGCTTGTCTATGCTTCAATGAAACCGTTTCAATTACTCCTAGTAAGCCAGTGGATGAGGTATGTCCTAAAAATGTTACATAATTTATCAAGCTACTAAAACAACTCTCTAATTTTGAAACTTAAGAACTGCTTGGAATATTTAAAAATTCAGTACGTGATTATTTATTAAAAAAAAAATAATTGGCAGAAATACCCAATCAAATAAAAAAAAGCAACTGAAAATGCATAAATAAGTAATTAGATAGAATATCTTAAAGCTTAAGAATTTCTTAAATTGTTTATGCAAAAGTACAAAATTGTCCTTTTTTCCATATTAATTCATAAAAAATTGAATGATAAAATACAATAGTAAAATAATTTAAATTAATTTTAGTATACTAGTAATTGTAACATTTTGAAATTTGTATATAAAGTTTAAGAATTTGTAGATTTTGTAGAATTTGCTTGTTTGTCGCACACATATTCTTTATCTACATATGTACATTTTACATTTATTACATACATTTGTATGTAATAGGTATGTGTAATAAAGATATTTTTTTGCAAAATTGGTGAATTTGAGCATTATTTCGATTAACCGTGTTTTCGATTATCCAGCAACGGTTCGGTACTGGCTGGCCCGGATAATCGAGGTTCTACTGTAGTTATAAAACGGAAAAGCATTGAAGGATTAAAATGAAAGTTGGTATGTGAAAATATATTGGTAAAAGGCTTTTCTTGATGCGGTTAATGTTAATTACCTACTTGCACAAATACCTTAAAATGTTACCTCATTTAAAAAATATTCATATTTTTTTTGTGTTTTATCTGATTTTCACAATTTTTTTCTGGTGAAAACTAAGACTTTTTTTATATAATTCTGTTTCTTAAAAAATTTTGATAATTTATAACGTTTAGTCGCAAAAAATTCTACAAACATCCATCACTGCAGCCCGGCAAATAAATTTGCACCTTATGCACTTTTATAAGGTAAATAAAATTAAAATGAGTTAGTTAATTATTCATTAATAAGCAATTTAGATTTATCACTGATTATTATAACTGCAGGTTATTTTATCCTTAGTAAAGTTTTATATAAAGTGAAAGCTAAATTTCATCAAATAGAAATGTAGATACATAAACATTGGTTAATAAATTTTGTTTCCTATATTGTAATTTATATTTTAAAATATCTATCTCAAATAATAATCTAGACCAATTCCTTCAATTTTGAACTGATACATCACAAATAGTTGCGGAATTTATATAATCATATTTTAATTTTTTTTTTTATTTAAACCACATATTACAGTCCACTTTCTGCTAATAGGTTCATTCACATGAGTTCTTTTGAGCATCAATAAAAAAATAATTATTTTTTTTCATCAATCCTTAAGAAGTACTTAAAAATATAACTTTTTGAATGTATTTTGGTTGTGTATGTAGAGAATCAGTTTAAAAATGAAATTGAATATTCTCATTCCAGGAAGAAGATACGGTTGAAGGGGAAGCCGCACTAGTTCGCCCGATTCCAGCAATTTCTCATCATAGTATAATGTATGCTCCAAAATGTTTAGTGCTGGTATCAAGACTGGATTATATAGAAACATTTCGAGTAAGAGTTTACAAATTATTAATTTTTAGACATTCTGATGGTCAAATTTCATTTCAACATAATATTTATATTTTTAGCAATCAACTGATCTATGTCGGCATATCGGTGATATCAGAATTATTGTTTTAGAAAAAATTTAATGAAATGAAATATGAATATCTACTTCATGTTTTTTATTATAAAGGAATAACTAATTTATTTGGAAGTAGAAATTAAAAAAAAAATTATATTAAATTTAAATCAACCCAAATTGAATTGAATATTTTGTCTCTTGAATAGGTACATTATATCTGTGGCATACCAATTTACATTTACAGTACAATCTTCCATATTTTCATGTTTGTTTTTATTATGTCATATACTGTGTGCTCGATATACTGTGGTTCATTGTAGTACAGATTTGCTCAAAATGTGTTGGTTTTAGTCGTCTGTCATCAGCCATGATGCCCTGCTTGTTGTTTCACTACAAAGGCTGGAAAATGAGACATTTTAAATTAAATCTCAAAATCCAAGCGAAGCCCAATATTCAATTTGTACCTTTCTTAAGAGTATCTACTCTTCGTTAACCCACTGAATGCGTCTTTTTTATCCCAAGTTGCTGCCTATATTATCTTTATTTTATATTTAATTTTTCGTAACACTCATTAACATTAGAAAATTGTATTTTTTTATATTATCTAATTGAGATTGTGAAATAGCTTCATTTGTTCCTTTTTTGTATTATTATTCTTTGATTCTTCTGATACATATAATGGAGAGATATACCATTGATTTTAATTATTAAAAATGCCAATATAGTTTTCAGAACACGTCAAAATAAAATCATTTTGTTTCAGAATTGCCTAGGTATAATTTATTCAGTATATATAGAAAATATGCCAGTGCCACTGGAAACTTTAGTAGGAAATATACTTGGTTGCATACAAGTGCCCCCACCTGGAGGACCACAAGTAAGATTTAGCATTGGCGCGGGCGACAGACAAGCTTTACAACCTCCATTATCGCCCTCACTTCCTGTAACACATTGCTCAGTTAACCTACTATTCCACCAACTTGGAATTCGAAATGTGCTGGTATTATTTTGCGCTATCATGACGGAGCATAAAATTCTCTTCCATTCGAAAAGTTACAACAGACTGACGGAAGCATGTCGAGCCCTGACTGCACTAATGTATCCATTTAGATACACACACGTGTTTATTCCACTTTTGCCGGCTCCTCTCGTGGAAGTTTTGTCAACACCAACTCCTTTTATTATGGGAGTTCACTCTTCGTTAAAGTCTGAAGTAGCTGAACTGGTAAGTTCAATGTTTTTCTTTGTGTTATCTTAGACTAGATTTGTTGTGTAAAGTGTTTTACTGTTCTGTCATTTAAAAATTAAAAATACTTCTTTACACATATAATACAATTTTATTCAGTTTACACTTTGGTGTTAAATTTGTGATGTCGTTACTACCTGCCTATTGAATGTGTTGCTGTAACTATTGGTGCAAATATATTTGTACATATTTTCTCGAACTTTTGGCAACATATACAAACCAAGATAAGAAATTATTGGTCGGAACTGATTTTGCAATTGACAGACTAAATCTCAAGGGTAATGTCAAAAATTTGTGATACAGTTGGTTCTATTTCGGTTGACCTTGAAGCAAACCGACGCTGTATGAATCAACAGATTAACTTTCCGTGTATGTGATGAGATGTGCCATGAGATATATCACACAGATTTATAGAAAAACCTTTAAGAGGTTACACCGAAATTAAAACCTACATTAAATGGCAAATTTGATACTGCGAGTATTAGCACCGATTTTAAGAAATGGATCTAATTAAATGTTCAACTCGAGAGATTAAATATTTGCTTTTATGTCATGACACATTCGGTTTCGCCCATGATATGTGGGTTAAATCTCTACATGTCATACAAGTTTGTTACCTATTTTTTGGAAAATCTTTAACACATAAAGTTTAAAAAATATATATTGCCCCATTAAAAAAATTGACCATCTTTTGATTGTTAAAATTGGCCAAAAAATTAAATTATAGTTTGCGACAATTTTACGAACAACCAGTAAAAAGCCTTTTATCGAAATATACAGGATGTTCTGAAGTTAGCCTGCAAAATTTTACCATTCTAAGACCAAAAATAAGAGAAAAATTTAATATTAACGTTGGCAGAAAAGTATCTCTAAAGGCGCTACAGCTCCTTAGAGTTGAATCTCAGAGAGTTATTTTTTCAAGATATCTGTAAAACCGTTCAAGATAATACACTGAAATTTGAAACAGGATGCTTTAATAAGTTTAGAATCCAATGGCCAAAAAGTAATTTCTAAATTTTAATCAGATGTATCCCAAATTGGATAGGTTGTGGCTAAATTATATTCTAACATTTTTATATGCGGTTTTCTCACTGCTTGATCCAAAAATAGTGGTTTAAGAAAACCATACAGGTATATAGAATATTTAAAAAAAAAACAAAAAATAAGTTAAGGAAAACTTTTGATATATAAGTAATGTTTTCCATTCTCCAGTTGTAAATAACAACTGTTTCTGTAAGATGTCACTATTTCTAAATTGTTAAATTTATAGCACTAATCAAATAAACCGAGATTTCTATTGAAAAATTGAGACAGTAATTCTGAATAGTACTAATTCACAAGGAGAAGACAAAGTAATCGGATTTTTGTAATTTTTTATATTTATGGTACATGTAGTTTGGACCTTGAATAAGAATTTTCCGAAGTAGTTCGACGCAACATTCATAAATTACCGAGGTAATCGATTTTGAAGTTTTACCTGCCAGCTAAATCCACTAGATGTGACACATTTTTCAATTGGGTGCGTGGCCTAGTTGGTAGCGTTCGGTTCCGACAGTCAAGAGATCGCTGGTTCGAGTCTCGTCACGCGACATTTTTTTTACCTTCAAAACACACCATGTTTTTTTTTTATTTTTCTCATCTCGAAAATTATGAACAAACGAAATATTATAATAACTACTTATGTACATATAGTTGTTAGGTATTAGCGACTAGCTAGTTAAGAAACAAAATAATTGGGTAATATAATTTTGGGAAAAAACAATCAATGTTGAAAACTGCTCAAGCTTTCAAGAATATCATTCTCTTCTTCAGGAGTTCACAATGAAGATGACCTGTTGAGAAAACATAACAATAATAAAATTATTAACATTCACTTGGAAAATCACTGATATTAATTAACAAAACAAACTGTGACCACAGAAATGAATAGAAGCAGGTCAACATTTTTTGGTTAAAATTGTTATTGTCGAATTAAAAATTTTCTAAAATTACATTATTAAAAATTAAGTAAGTGCTACCTTGATCAAAGCAATACTCCAATACTGAGTGTGGAATAAAAAAAAAACATATGTTGCGTTTTGAAGAGGGAAAAAAATGCCGTGCGACGAGACTCGAACCAGTGATCTCGTGACTGTCAGAACCGAACACTATAAACTAGGACACACTCCCAGTTGAAAAATGTGTTGCAGCTAGTAGTGGATTTAGCTGGCAGGTTAAACTTCAAAATTGATTGTCTTGGTAATTTATTAACGTTGCGTCGAACTACTTCGGAAAATTCTTATTCAAGGTTCAAACTACCATAAATAACAAAATTGACACAAATCCAATTACTTTGCCTTCTCCTTGTCAGTAAAAGATACTTAAGGTTTTGCTCATCTATATAATATAAAAACATACAGAACAAAATAAAACTTCACAAATGACATTATAAATTACAAAAAAAAATCTGATTTTCTCTTTTTATTTGATTGGGTATTTCTGTAATACTAAAAAGAAAAATAAATAAACACGTGCACCAAAAAGGATCAATGGAGGGGTTGATTTTATAAATTTACTTTTGCCTTACCAGAAATATCTCATTGAGGTATAAAATAATTTTTAATTACACAATAATAACTGCAGCACATTACACAGTTAGCTTTTTGAAAACATTTTTTTTTTGTTATCAAAACTTTTATTATAAAATTTATTTAAAGCCAAATGTGTTTTTTTTATTTTGTTTATCTACCTTTCTATACTGTTTTACTTCGTCGTTGAGAATAATCGACCAACTCAAAATTTAAGGAATTATTTGAAATGTATTTATTACTGTTTAGCAAAATAAATGACAATGCAAATTTTTGATTTTTCAGATTCTCATAGTATATATTAGTGCTGGAACTAAAATCGGTTTTTTGGATAGTGGGTTAACCGGTTTCGGATAATTCGGATTTTTACGAAACCCGATAACTGGATATTCAATTCTTCAAATATGATTATTCAAATAACCGATTATTTGGTAATCTGTTCATTCAAACATCCGAATAATCGGATACTTTCTTTATAGCCAATAACTACATAACACTATAATATAGTCTTAGTGTTATGTAGTTATTGGCATTGGCTACAAAGTACATACATAGTAGATACCTACTACAAAAATTAGGTTGAACTTTTAAAAGTAAATACTATTTATTTTTATATTTTATCCTGGAACACAGACACAGACTGATAAAAAAAAACAATCACCCACACCACATACACCAAACACCAAACGACGAAACACATTTATATAAATAATAAATTCAAAATTTATTAAGTGTAACTGTTTTAATCGTTTTATTATTTTAACTTTTAACATTATATTTAACTTTAAAATTTAGAGTAGATGAATATGTGAATAACATCGTATATCCCGTCAGTTTTTCAAAACATCGATTTTCAGATATCCGGCTTTGGCCATTATTCGAGTAACCGGTTATTTAGTTATTCGAATAACCGGTTTTAGAATATCCGATTTATCTGAAATTGGTTTTCACGAAACCCAGTTAGTCAGTTTAATTTTTTTTTTGGTTTTTGCCAGCACTAGTATGTAATAAGGAAAATGCAACAATCATCTGAATCATAGAAATATACATTTCACATCCTGTCAGAAGGTTAAGCAGGCTTCAGAAAAATCTGTTTGTTTCACAAAAATTGGATTGTTTGGAGTGTTTGTTCAAAAATTTCATTTCAACTATTTTCAACATGCAACATAATTATTAAATCAATTTTACTCCAAAATGATACAGTCTATCAAAACAAGAAAATAATCCTTTTAAAAAATCCAAAATTATTGAAGTCTGCATATGAAAAAGTTGTAGCAATATTTATCCACATTCCTCCAGTCTGGTACGTTGCTATAATATTTAGAAATATTTTTTTAATTTTTAAATTCACAACATAAGAGCAATACTGGAACATCTGGCAAAAACAACTTACAAATGCTCAGCTTTAAGGGGCTGTAATCCTCTTAGGTGGCATTTCTTTGCCTACGTGTATATAAACTTTTTTTATTTTTTACTATTGAATGTGTTGGTGAAGTATCACAGGCTATTGTATATTTAAAAGCAGGGTGTTTCTTATAAAAAAATAGATTCACCAATATGTAAAAATAAACAGTTTGGCAAAGGTGCTATTACACTCGTCAGATCATTTTACTTTTGGATGTCAAATTTGACATCAATCCGATAATCCATATAAAAGTGATAGGAGATACGCTATTTGAAAAAACTTTTATGTATTTATTATACAATATCCAGTACTATAAATATTCCATATATTTTTAGATGGACGTAATTGTAGCCGATTTAGATGGAGGCTCCATAACCATTCCTGATGGTATATCTTTACCACTCCTATCAGAGCCATTATTGAGTAACACTCAAGAGGCTCTTAGTCTCATACTTCAGCCAGAACTAAGCTGCGCTGATCACGCTTTTCCACCCCTCGCGATCCGGGCTCCTCAACCCGTAATGCTGGACAAAGAGATAAGGGCAGTATTCATGAGAACATTCGCACAACTACTACAAGGCTATAGAAGCTGCTTGACACTGATCCGCATACATCCCAAACCGGTTATAACATTTCATAAAGCAGCATTCTTAGGGGAACGTAATCTCAAAGACTGTGATTTTACAACAAGAGTATTAGATTGTATGTTTTACACCAGCTTCGTATCTGAAAGGGGGCCACCTTGGAGGCCGTGCGATGTCTGGGATGAGCTTTACAGTAACCTGAGTGAATTAATTAGATCAGAAATACAGGACCCTCGTCTGATATTGGAACATATACAACAGCTAGCCACACAATTATACACGAATGAGACACCGAATCCTCAGTCTTATGCACAAAAAATTCTTGTGCCACCTGAAGGGGCCTTCGCAAGGATACATCAACCTCCTTTACCACTCATTAATAGTGAAAAAGTACAAGCAATTATCGATGAAGGGCTTTCGAAGAACAACCTTAAGTCTAGGTAAGTAACATTGATCTTTCTAAAATTTATTTTTTTATTCAGGCACACTTCCAAATTTTAAATGAAGTGCTTGTTCAGTTATTTCAAAAATTCAAGTGGATCTTATAAAACCACTATTTATTAATTGTTAAATATGATTACACTTTGTTTCTGAATTCACTATGAATTAATTTTTTATTTTTTTTATTGGCAATACTAATATGTTTATTTGCCTTGAGTACATTGATATAATTCAAATCTGTGCAAATCAGGACGGTACTTAAATTTTTTTAAATGTAATATGTAAAGTGTAAAGTAAAACCTAAAAAAAAAAATACTTAGAAGCATTCTCTAATCTTTGTTGCCTTGATTTGAATGTTGCAAAGAATGATTGCAGAATTATTGTATTACTAGCTAATTCTCGCTCCCACACTCAGTCTCAATAAGTGGCGTTTTGCAATATCTAAGACTTTCCTCGCAAGCCACGAAGCTTCCCTCAGACATTCCTTTATCCCAACAAATTTTGAAGACGATTTCTTCACTTCTAAAAGAAATTTCCTCTCACCAAAAATCGACTTTTTTCTGTGCAAGAGAGAGAGAGAGACTCAAAGTACATCCCATGCTTAGACAAGGATGGAAACAAACGTCAGTGAGGACAACAATATGAATTTTGTTCTTTGACACTTTTTGCACGATGTTCGGACCGCGGTTAGTGGTTACTTTGCTGTTAGGCACAGGTACTGGTCTTTCAGAAACGATATAGCGAAAAACTTAATTTGAATATTTTTAAATTTCTGTTTACACTTGTGGAGTCCCATACTTTCAATCTGAATAAGCTCCACCAACCTATAGGCTGCCACAGCTCAGTTTTTAAGCTAACGATTGCCAAGACGAAGGTCCGCGGGTTGTACTTCTTTTTTTGAAAAACATTATTTCCCTAAAAGCTTTCGTACAGGGTATCTAAAGTATTTCAAAAAATTTTATATTTATAGCAGGCAACTGTTTTAAATCTAGATGCACAAAATAAACCATTTGAACCATTTTTACAATTCAAATAATAGTGCTTTTTTTTAATTAATTGCAGGTACTTAATTTGTTACTATAGTTTTTTGTCATAATGACTAAAAAATATTGAATTCAGTTTTTGAATTTTCTTTGACCTTAGAACATTTATGGTTGAATGATTTCCGGGCTGATTACCACGTCGTCAATTTACAACTCGTTTCAAAGAAACATATCGCTCTCTTCTTCAGAAGTTGCTCTGAAACTGGAGATCTACTAATCTTGTCACTATTTATATTTGATATGGTCATTGATCCATGACGCACCGGTGGGTGACCTCGTACGCGTTATTGTTCCAGTGGGTTGTTTTCACGGCAGATCCACGCCACCGTCCCTGTTGAAATTGTTCGGATTATTGTAAATTTCTAATGCTTCTCTGTATAGTTATATTTGAGTTTCTCCTCATCAATACTCCCAGTTTCCCAAATTTCGTCAAATTGCCACGTTATTGAACAAAAATTATAATCAAATTACCAAACAAAAATTTTTTTTGGACGCCCTGTATCTCAAGAACCAAGCCGTAGCAGACCCACGTTCATATGAACTTTTTGTCTTAAAATTAGTCAAAGATTCACCATTTAAAGTTTTTACAAGTACTTAATATAACCCTGTATAATTGTTATAATTTAACTTTCTTATGCTATGTACCCTAGTGTATCTAAATACAAGATATTCATATGAAAATATGCATCATCGTTTTAACTTCTATATCTACATATTAAAAAAGAAGAAATAAATATGCCAGGCTTTACAAATTCTGTATTTTCTGTTTTTCTTATTTCAAATCTGTAGATTTAAAAATTAGGGTGCATAGTTTCATAAGAATCTTGATTTTTCTCATTTATAATAATTTTTCTATTTTGCACAGTGGTGATTACACCTGGTAAGTTAAAAATTTCTTATTTTTGTCGCTTAAATGAGGTACTTGCGTTTTATGATTATATCGTATTGTATGTTTAAGCTTAAGTTGCTTGAGTTCAAAGATGGTACTGGGTTTTCTAAAAAAAAGAATAATGGAATGGATATTGATCAAAATTATACTATTTTATTAAATTGCCATGAAATATAAAATAAAAATGAAGTAATAGAAGTAATAAGTATACATGTGTGCGTGGTATTACAATGTCTTATGGATTTGTCATGTAATAGACATATTAGTCTAAAAACACAATACATATGGAGAATTTCTCCATTAAGTATATTTAGTTTCTATGTAATTCTACAAGATAAATATTTAGACTGATTTAATTTTATGGGACGCCCAATATTTATCTCTGCTTAGCTCTATGAATGTATACATAAATAAAAACAATAAATATATAGCACCTTGCATGTATGTAAAGTACCACACTATATTCTTCTATGTTCGAGTACAAAAATGTATGGGTTATTCCTAAATTGTTTCTTGATACAGGCCTTCATAAATGTTTAGGCAACCCAACAATGCAGGGCTGGTACTGGTAATGAAAAATCCCTACATCTTCGCATCACCAATATTAATGATTTGTTTACAATGATATAATACGATCTACAATCGCTCATTATTTGAACGAAATGTCGTGAAAAATTACACTGATCACCAGCCGATGAAACAGAATGTTGTATTTCAACGTATTCTTGATCTTAATTTTTAATTTTACCGAAATTTAATTGCCAATATGAAGGAAATAAATCAATAAATCACTGTTCCAAAGAAATTACTAGCCACGTGGCTTGTAATCATTTATGAAGGCCCCGTACATAAAAGGATACCTTTTTTATATAAACTTTTTACCGAAAGTGGATAATAAGAGAGATGTATCCCTTTAAAAGAGAAGATACCATGTTTTTTACAGTGTCTTTTGTCTTTCTAATAATCTAGAGATCAATATTTTCCAAAAATTTATAAAAAAATCAGGGGTGAAATACTGATAAACTCACAAACTACCCTTTAAACAATAATTGAGATTCAAGTAATACTGAGTAAATTACTGTCCATAATTACTAAATCTAAGTTTAAAATATGAATAAGAAATCCTGAAATGGATTTTTGATATATCCGTAAAAAGGAAGTCATTAATCATCTCTTTAAAGTGACATTTTGGGAAAAATTTATATGTGTGTTGAAAGGTACCCTTATTTTTTATGTATTAATTATTTAATTTTTACTTCAGTGTACAAAATAAGCTTTTCAAATACAATACAATAATAATGATGGACCACTGAACAATTTTATTTTTTAGAAATTTGTACAGTTCACTGGTCTCGTGAAAATATGCCAATGTTTTTCAAAAACAATGCAAAATACAATAAATTATAGGTATTGTTATCTGTATCAAATACTCCTGCTCACAAATTTCTACAATTTATGCAAATTTCAATTTATCTATTTTATTACTTTTTGTGTTTTAGGCTGTCATCGTTAAGACCTATTCAACCTCGAATAGTACCAATGGGACCAAACATATCAAATCTTAATGATAATAAAAATGTTGTCAGCAACTCTGCACGGAGACTAGAGGTATTTTCATATATTGAAAATTATTCTCACTTTTTAATATTGTCTGTTAATTTAATACCATTTTAATATTTTCAAATAAGAAGTGTTTCTTTAATTTTTAATATAAATTTTTTTAAATATTTTGAGATGTCACTGAACACTACAATTAATTAATTTCGCTTAGTTTAATGCTTAATTTAGAAGAAATAAGTATACTTGAAAGGTATAAGACGTTTTTTTTAGGTTTTAAGAAATTGCATAAACTGTATATTCGAAAATAAAATATCAGATGCAAGGAAAACATTTCCCGCCGTCTTAAGGGCTCTTCAGTCCAAACAAGCTCGTTTGGCACTGTGCAATGAACTATCCCACCATGTCAGTGGCACCAAAGCCATGCTAGAACACCAACAATTCGATCTTGTTGTTCGTCTAATGAACTGCGCACTTCAAGACGATTCGTCAATGGATGAGCACGGAGTAGCGGCGGCACTTTTGCCATTAGCTACTATCTTCTGTCGAAAGTTGTGCACTGGAATCATCCAGTTCGCATATACTTGCATACAAGAGCACGCCGTTTGGCAAAACCAACAGTTCTGGGAAGCCGCATTTTATCAAGACGTACAAAAAGATATTAAAGCTTTGTACACGTCTCGAGCTGAAAATCTAAATCCCAGACTGAGCAATGAACTTTTGAGTCCTACGTCACCTAGAGAGAGTAAAGACTTTACTTGGCACAGGAAATCCATTTTGTCGAGAGTTCAAGAAGCGACTGCTTTGGAAATTGCCGCGGAGCAAATGCGGATTTGGAATTCCATAGATCCCGAGAAACAGAAAGAATTAATTACTTGTGAAGAAAATACGATGTACAGTCAAGCTATTCACTACGCGAATAGAATGGTTTACTTACTCATTCCTTTAGATATGGGGCACAAAGCTAGCAAGCAAGATCTCTTCGATGATGAGCGAGCAAGTAATAGTATTGCCAACAGGTATATTGACATAATTTAGATTTTATAACACATAATCATTCTTTTATAATAATAACATATTTATTTATAATTTTTTTAGTGTTGCTGAAAGTGACAGTGCTGACGCTGAGTCGGGATTTGAAGATCAAGATCCCGGAGAGACAGGCAACACAGTGATTAGAATCGTCTCTAGGTTTATTGACAAGGTATGTAACGAAGGCGGCGTTACGAGGGACCACATACGTAATTTACATCAAATGATACCTGGCGTAGTGCACATGCATATAGAAACATTGGAAGCTGTCCACAGAGAATCTAAACGACTGCCACCTATTCAAAAACCAAAGATTCTCACCCCAAATATGCTGCCTGGAGAAGAGTGCATCATGGAAGGTAAGAATTGAGTAAAAAATAATTATTAATGCAATAGTGATCCAAAAGTGAATTATGAGTGTCTTTTTTTTTCTTAACCATAGGATTACGAGTGTATCTGCTACCAGATGGACGAGAAGAAAGCAGTGCTGGTCTTCTAGGAGGATTACCTCTTTTACCAGCTGAAGGTGCAATTTTTCTCACGAATTACAGAATTATATTTAAAGGAATACCTTGTGATTCTTTTGGTAAGTTATTTCACATTTCACAAAATTGTCGTTTCATTATTTCTATAAAATATTAACTGATTTTGATAGAAAATAATATTAAAAAATGGCCACAACATCGAGATGATATTTTAATTGCCAGTGTTGCGAGAAACAACTATTCTGTGGGCTATATGCCCCAACCGGCATTGAATTATACTCGCAACACCTAGTGCAACAGCTAGGATTATTCGTCAGTTTAACCCACCAGGCACAGACCAGTTTTGGACTTATTAATCCTCATTAGTGTGTCATAGGTGAGACAACCGTCGAACGATCCAGCCGTTATGCATTGTATCCTCACGGCAAGGAAATACATAGTACGCGGAGCACAAATGGCTCCATCTGTCGTGCTGACTCCCAACTGTGCCATTCAAATGACTACAGTAGGAAGTGACCTGCTATATTGCAGGTACTTTGTTGCATGACTGCCACCCACAGAGGGCGAAACACAATGTTTTAATAACGTTATATAATATAACATAGCCATTTGCGCTCTGCGTACAATCGAGATGATATATTTTTCATGTTGTATAGCATCTTAAGAGCATGGACTAATACAAATATTTTTTAGCCTGTGAACAAGTTGTTGTGAGGTCGTTTCCTGTAACATCCTTAACGAAAGAAAAAAAAGTCGCCGTGCAGTACTTGGCACATTTAGATCAGTGGCTCCAAGAAGGTCTTCAGTTAAGGTCTTGTACTTTCCAGCTGATGAAACTAGCGTTCGATGAAGAGGTTACCGCTGAAAATATAGATACTTTAAGAAAATTAATACATAAAATCCGTCATCCTCCAGACGTATTCCATCATTTTGCTTTCACTGGGCAAGTTGTAGTAAGCCAAACTCCTCTTCACAAGAATAAAGAGAAAAATGCGACTTTACGAGGTTTTGCTAAAAAGACCTTACTGAAGACGGCGAGGAAAGCTGGGTTCAAGCAGAAGTCTTCGTCAAAACGTCAGAAATATGTGTTGCCAAACATGAGTATGAATAATAGCAATAAATACATGACATCTCCTGGACGAATGAGTTTGCCTATTACAGATGATTACAACCATGATGATGACTTATCGATCGATGACTTTGAAACTGGACCTCCTTCTATAGCTCCAGCTCCTGCGGATGCTAAAACTTTGGAGAGGCTGCAAGAAAGAAGTTATGTTAGGGACTGGCAAAGATTAGGAATATGCGGATCTAACGCTTCCCCATCTACTAAACCATCATCTGACCACTTTCGCTTAACAACCGTTAATTCGATATATATGATGTGTAGAAGGTGCAAATAATTCAATTTCTTTTTACTAACAGTTGTTTAATGTGTGTATATATTTCAGTTATCCCGCTTTACTACTAGTTCCTGCCTCCGTGACAGATGAAAGTATAAGGCGGTTCTGTCGATGTTATCGTCAAGGTCGTATCCCGAGCACAACATGGCGGCATCCCCGCACTAAGGCGATACTCCTAAGGGGAGCTGGTCATCATGGAAAAAGCGTAATGGGAATGTTGAAAAGTCACCCAACGCCGGCCGCTTCCACGGAAACTACATCATCAACTGAGCAAGAGAAATATTTATCATCAATCGTTTCTGCTACGCCAGTTTTTTCACATAGACCTGGATCCGGTTGGGGAATGTCCGACAGCTCATTAAGTATAGACTCCTTACTTTTGGCAGCCGAAGATCCGTTAGCTTGCACTACCTTAACCCCTGAAGTGGTTCGACGGTCCAATCCGTTCAACAAGGCTATAGGAACTTTAGGGTAAGTACATTACAAACAATAAATGAAAACGTAATAAATTTAAAACTAATTTTAATGTTTTTTAAATATTCCAGTGTGTTTCCAAGGTCTTCAGGAGGCAAAGGTCCGAAGAACTTCGGGCGATGGGGTTCCTTGAAGGACAGAAGGCAGTCTTCTCAAGCATCTTTGGCGGGCGGTCAACAAAGCAGGACCAATATTCGTCATTCCACTGATATGGACAACGTTGTCGATGGAGTACATACTTTGCAAAGGGCGGCTTTATATATTCTCGGTGAAAAAGCCCAGATGAAAATTAAAATAGAATCTGCACCAAAAACGGACTTTATCCCAGTCGAATATTACGATGTACGACATACGAAGGCAGCATTTAAGAAGCTCATGAGGGCTTGCATTCCGAGTTCTCAGAACCCTGAACCAGAGCATAGCTTCCACAGGTAAATATTAAAACCATAGTAGCTTAATTAAAGACACCAGAAAAAAATCATAAATCTATTCTACATTTACCAATTTTGACCCAACAAATCGATCAATAAATCAACAAAGAAATTGGAGACCATCGAGCTGGTTGTATTTTATCAATCCATTTTAGTGACAATTCAGTAATACCAATTTTAGTCATATTCTAAAATTTTGACACTAGTTTTTATTAAACATTCAAAAAAAAGGTTCTTCTCAATTGGTGGCCTAACATTTAGATGTATTTGGCCAGGTTCACACTTTCTTCTACAGGGTGATTCAGTCATATTGTCATTAATTTTAAGAGCAGATAGAGAAAAATGAGTATAATACGATGGCATGATTAAAAAAACAATTAAATGCATATTTAAGCTGAAAAAAAAAAAATTTTCAAATCATTATTTAACCCCCTTTTCAGGCTGTTACTGACCGGCTGACGTCAGCCGGCTACGATATGAACAAAGCGACCTAGATGCAATGTTGCCATATTTATATATTTTCGCACATATAAAGACAATAAATAAACGGTTTGCTCACGTCAGCCAATAATAATTTAAAATGCTATAAATTATTTTTTTATAATTATGCAATCAACATATTAAATTGTTATTGTTACCCAGCAAGAACCTCGAGGAGGTCTGAGCATGACTTGCCAAAAATCATTTTTTATTAACATCATAGTGATAATTTTTTAATTTGCTGTAAGCCTTCTACTAAAAATTGAAAGTAACGCGGCCCATTCAGATGTACAGGTAGAAAATGCGGCCCAATTAAACGATCGCCATATATTCCTGTCCATACATTGACACCCAACCTCCTCTGAAAGCTAAACCGACGAGTAGTGTGCGGGTGACCAAATGTGACTATTATGGCTGCAAAGAAATTAGCACCGTTTCACTTTAAATAAAATTTAATATTGAAATTACAAAACCCCAAGAGTTCAAATAATTTAAATTTAATTTCATAACCATTTCAATTTCATTACAGAAATAATGACATAAAAAAACCAACACTCACTAGATAAATTATAAAGAGAGGGTGAAATGTATGTAGTATTTAAATATTGACTGTAAGTAATAGAAGATAAAAATACAATCGGACGGAGACAAATAAACAACTCGGTCCGTATTTCCGACCTAGGTCAACCTTTGTCGAGTTCAATAACCTTCTAATTTGTACGTGTGCACTTTAGTGTCGTCGCAAAAAGTTGTCAGTGTTTTATCAAAGGAAAATCGTGTCATCAATGAATAGGGATGATTGTTTTCGAATGTACGGTTATTACAATTTATCATTTTTAATATTATTAACGTTTTGACGTATTATAATTTATTATGTTAAATAATACACAGTTTTAGTATTTCAGTTTATTATTCAATATGCAGTTGCGTATAACCAAAGTTTACATAATAAATGCAAACTTGTAAAAGTGTAAATCTAAACTTTGGTGTAACCTAGGTATTGTTTTTGAGAAGGCAATACTTATGTTATTTACCTGTTTAAAGTGCCAGCACGAGTAAAATATCATTCATCCGTCCAGAGCACTTTGTTGATAAAGTTCTGTTGCACTTCGAATCAGGAACCAATTGCAAAATTCAAGACGATTGGGGAAATCAGCTGCTTCTAAAGCTTGAACTTTTTGAAAATGTGTTATGTTAACTCCTTTGCGGGAAAAATGTGGGAGATATGGAGGGTGGTAGATTTGAATAAACGCTTTAAATTGTTAGGTAATGGTTAATGTTAGGTAGTGTATTTTGTATATTCGTGTATTTAGTGTGCCGATTTTTTTTATTTGATAAAATTCAGTGTGCCTACAAACCTCTGCTTTACTTATTTTCTTTTAACGAAAGTTGACTTCGGAAAGTAAGGCTTGTTAAAACATTTTGCACTAAGTTAATACAATTATTAAAATTAGTTATAATAAAATGCAGCATGATTCTTTATTTACTTGCATTTTATTGGTTTCGTACATATGTATCCATATACTAAAGCGGCAAAATTAAATGTGATTATGATGTGAACTTGGCAACGCTGTTCGCCTCAGCTGACGGTTTGTTCGTGACATTAAGTTACAAAATTTTCCGAGCATCTGGGCATCTGGCAGGGCCGTCTTCTTAGCGGGAATTATGGGTAGATTTCCTTCATTTTTAAAAGTCGCGTAAAAAATTTTGTTTTACGATTTTCTGTCTTTATTAAGCCTTCCGAATTAAAATTAATGACATTATGACTGAATCACCCTGTATAACATATTCTCGGAGGATATACCGTGTGGTATGTCTGAGAGTTCCCATATCGTCAGAGATTTTATTTTCTTCAGATTTATGTTTGGATTTTCACCGAAAGGGGTTAGTAAAACAGATAGGACAACATTGGAAAGACTCTTCTCTCTAAGAATCCCAGGACATGAATTAGGGGCTTTGTTATACCATTGCTGTGTGTTAGTTTGACATAAGTTACAAATCTATTATGATTCGTGCTTTCCTCTTATCATCACTGATTTTTATTGCAAAAACTAGTAGCCTTACATTTGGCCAATAGATTGGCCAATTTTTTTGAGACAACCTGTTCTACATTTATCCATTCTCATTACCTAGAAAGTGTACCTACACCATTTACTATACATAGTTAAGAAACGGAAATTATGAGGGTTGTGTATTATAATTCGGAAATGGACGATCCTGGTGATGCCATCTGACAACTGACATCCCTGTCATAAAGTTCAACTTTTTGTCCGTATACCTTCTCAGAATGTTTTGACGTACAGGCAATATTTGTATTGTTTACAGTAACTTGAAAAATTCGTCTTGGGATTATTTTTTACAACTTTCGCCATGGATTATCTCAACAACAGTACATCGATGACATTAATACAACTTTTGGCGATGACGCACCATCAAAAACCACTGTATATCGGTGGTATATGGGATTCAATTTTGGCTGTGGTTCGCTCACTGACAAATTTCGAGAGGGTCGTCCAAAATACGTTTTTGTTCTAGAAAACATTGATGCTGTACATCGACTGGTATTGTAAGATGTGACTTATGGCGAGATTGAGGCATCCTTGAGCATTAGTGGGCCAATATACATACAATATTGCATGAACATTTGGCCGCCAAAAAAATTTGTTCGGGTTGGATCTCACATAATTTAACAAATGCTCAAAAAAAAGGCTCGTGTCGATTGATTGAAAGAAATGGTCAAAAAATACGATTGCAGTGCTTCAAAACATGTCTATGATATCGTAACAGGTGACGAATCATGGATCTATGCGTATGAAACCGAAAGTAAACAGCAGTCGACTGTATGGGTTTTTCAAGATGAGCCAAATCCAACAAAAGTTGTTCGCGCACATGAACATTTGGCCGCTAAAAAAATTTGTTTGGGTTGGATCTCACATAATTTAACAAATGCTCCAAAAAAAGCTTGTGTCGATTGATTGAAAGAAATGGTCAAAAAATACGATTGCAGTGCTTCAAAACATGTCTATGATATCGTAACACGTGAATCATGGATCTATGCATATGAGACCGAAAGTAAACAGCAGTCGACTGTATGGGTTTTTCAAGATGAGCCAAATCCAACAAAAGTTGTTCGCACACAATGTACTGCTAAATAAATGGTCGCCTGTTTTTTCGAAAAAATTGGACATGTAACTGTACCATTACTGGAACTTTGGAGGGACAGCCAATTCTAAATGGTACACAATCATTTGTTTGCCAGAAGATGTCTTCTGGGAAAATAAGGGAAACTAACCGCCCAAGACACATCATTCTCCATCAGGATAATGCGAGCTCTCACAAATCGGCTCAAACGAGATTTTTTAAGAAGTGCTAAAGTCGAATTGATCTGCCCTATAGCCCTGATTTGGCACCCAATGACTTTTTTATTCCTGCACATCAAAGATAAATTAGGCGGTCAACATTTTTCGATGCCTGAAGAAGTGGTTGATGCTTTCAAAATGCATTATTTAGAGGTACCTCAATCGAAATGCAATAAATATTTCGAGGATTAGTTCAATCTCATGCAAAAGTGTATTGGTAAAGCCACATATGATGATTAATTTCTTTTTTTTTATTCTCTATTCCCGAAATATAAAAGGCAACCCTCGTATTATCACTACAAGTTTGCGTAGGTACATTTCCGTTTAGGGTGGAATCGACTTAGATTTTTTAATAGGTACTATGGGAACTTATTTTGAACATTTTCATTCAAATTAAATATAGGCCGAAAACCGGCCTTATCGACCCTCCTCCTTTGATGTTTTTTGCTTTTCTTAAAAATAAAAAAAAAATTACAATGCTCACTATAACGGATAACGCTAATCTTAAGAAAGAGAATGAAAATTGTCCGTTTACTGAATATCTGACGTAAAGTATTCTCTTTATTCGTTCATATAACATTTTAAAAATAGTTTTTTTCTTATCCTAGGCACTTTTCTCTATATTATAATCCAGAAATGGTCAGCACTATATGCATTTGTTATTGCAATTGCACTAATTACTGCTACCATGATCAATGTTTATTCTAAAAGTTAATTAGCCCTAAATTGACCAGTAAATTAGACAATTTTATTGCAAAAGTATGCATACAAATCGATGTCTGGCTTAAAATAATGACTTATTTTAAGGTTAGTGGAACATTCCGAGTGGTTGCAACAAATCCAAAACATAATGCAACTGTCTGGTGCCGTCGTTGATTTACTTGACCTTCAAGGCTCCTCTGTAGCCATTTGTTTAGAGGATGGATGGGACATCACCGCACAAGTTTCTTCAGTGGCGCAGCTCTGTCTGGATCCTCACTACCGAACCTTAGAAGGTTTCCGCATTCTTGTAGAAAAAGAATGGATCGGCTTTGGTCACCGATTTAGCCATCGCAGCAATCTGAACGCGAATTCTCAAGCGAGTGGTTTCGCACCGACGTTTCTGCAATTTTTAGATGTTGTACATCAAATTCAGAAGCAATATCCAATGGCATTCGAATTTAATGATTACTATTTACGGTTCCTAGCATATCACTCTGTCTCCTGTAGGTTTAGGACTTTTTTATTCGACTGTGAGTTAGAAAGGGTTGAGAGTGGAGTGGCAGCGGTAGAAGATAAACGGGGGTCATTGACTTCTCACCATAAAAGTGTGGATACCATATCCGATGACGAAAACATCTACCCTGGTGGAAGGATCAGTTCAACGTCTCAAGGACCAAACTTAGGGCAAAGCGTGTTCGACTACATTGAAAAACAACATGCCAGAAGTCCGTTATTTTTCAATTTCATGTACACTCCAGATTTCGAACATCCAGTTTTAAGGCCGCAATCTCACTTACCTAGCCTTGAGGTTTGGAATTATTATCTCGACGAAGATCTGCACTATGGACCTAATTATGATCTGGAGATTATCCAAATGGACTCTCAACAAGAAGAGGAGGCTGAAGCTGCAGATGGTATAAATAAATTCAGGAAGATTGTTTGTTTAGGGTAAGTTTTATAGTTTATAATGTGCTAGAAGTTGTTTTTAAACTTATTGTACAGACTCTTCATAAATGATTACAACCCACCTGACTGTCCAGCTGGCTGGTAGTGTCGACTAAAAGTCCCTAAATCTTACCGTCACCAACATTAATGATTCGTTTACAATGAACAATGACAAAACCATTAACTCGAGATGATGCGGTTGCTGATTGAATAGAATCTCCTTTTAATTTTACCAAAATTTAATTACCAACATAAAAGAAATAAAATTACCAATCCAAACAGAATTACTGGTCACATGGCTTGTAGTCATTTATGAGGATTTTGTATTAGGTAGTGATGTAACAGAGTACAGAACTACCTATTGATGAAAATAAGCAACCAAGAGATGACACCATTTCTGTTCTATTAATAGGGAAAACACTTCATAATTTTGATTGTCATTGGTGTGATTTCTACAGCTCTTTCAGATATTTTAACATACATTTCAGTTAGGTACAGGAAACTCAAAATCTTTAGGGACCATATTCGTTTACTGCCCAATTTTTAAAAAAAGACCAATTGTAGAAAGTTTTAACTTATTTAAATATGCTCTATATTATTTTATAAAAATTAATTCATTTATAAATGTTATTTAAATCCTGCTTCACTATGATGGTGGTTATACAGGTTGATTCATTAATAATTGTATATACGCTAACTGGATAATCCTAGGCTAAAAATATGAAGAATTGACACATAACGCTTAGATAAAATATGGCTCCTTACGGTGAGGGTTACTTTCGGTGTTCAGCAAATAAAACTCAACGGTAAAAATAAAAGTATTTTTATTGGAAACAATTTAGTGAAAAAGACGTGTTGTCGGAATGAGCGTTCGCTGGAGAGTCTTTGTAGTGTGGAGTCATTCGTCGGTATATGAGTAAGCATCTGGTCGCCGGCGCCTATCCGCCGTGGACCCTTCCTGGAACCCTGGTGCGTTCCGCTTTGTCAGTGCAATCATGAGACTGGTCCAGGCAGCGTCAGGCTGGTAATATTGACGCAACACTTAAAAATGGGTCACTTGCAGACATGTGTACCCACAACGGAATTACAGGGTGTTTTATTTAAAAATTTTAAATTATTTTTGGAGTTAGTCTNAATCCTAGGCTAAAAATATGAAGAATTGACACATAACGCTTAGATAAAATATGGCTCCTTACGGTGAGGGTTACTTTCGGTGTTCAGCAAATAAAACTCAACGGTAAAAATAAAAGTATTTTTATTGGAAACAAGTTAGTGAAAAAGAATAAGTATTGTCAGGGCGAGCGTTCGCTGGAGAGTCGTCGTGGTGTGGAGTCGCTCGCAGGTATAAGCATCTGGTCGCCGGCGCCTATCCGCCGTGGACCCTTCCTGGAACCCTGGTGCGTCCGGGCGGCGTCAGGCTGGTAATATTGACGCAACACTTAAAAATGGGTCACTTGCAGACATGTGTACCCACAACGGAATTACAGGGTGTTTTATTTAAAAATTTTAAATTATTTTTGGAGTTAGTCTGTGATATGGGTACATTAGATTTAAATTTCTTGTATTATACTGAGATGATGAGTCTGTCATAAAATTATTCCAGTTTTTCCTTACATACATTAAGCACTCAAAAATATACAGAGCCGATATAGTCATTATTTTGCTATTCCTAAATACCGATCTACAAGATTGGATGTAAGACATATTATTGATAATTCTTATAATTCTTTTTTGAATGACAAAAATTTTCTGTATGTCAGTGCTATTACCCCAAAACATAATTCCATATTTACAAATAGATTCGAAACTACCAAAGTAAATGATTTTTGTAGATGTACTATTTACATATTTACTAATTACCCTGATTCCATATATTACTTTACTTAATTTAGCAGCNTCTCGGACAGCACAACCACACAAACCATACAGGGTAATGCTGGCGATAATGGATCTGTAAGTTCAGGTAAGAATAAATCTTCCACAAGTGTTTTAGATAGTGAGACTATATATATTTTTTGTAGGAAGTGCAAGGCAAACGTCTAGTCAACAGTACTATGATCAGTTTTCATCAAATGTAGCTGAGGACAGGACCCATGAAGGGTATCTGTATAAAAGAGGTGCTCTGTTGAAAGGGTGGAAACAGCGATGGTTCGTATTGGATTCTATTAAACATCAGTTGAGGTATTACGATGCAATGGAGGATTCACATTGTAAAGGCTACATTGGTAATTATTTCTGCTGTTATAGATGTTACGTTCATATACAGGGTATCCCAGTGTAAGCATAGACCAAACCAAACCAGTCCAAAATAAGAATAAAATTCTGATATTTTTCTGCCATGCACTCTCACTGAGTTACAGGGTGTTGTTTTGAAAAAAAATAACAACTTTCCACAATAACTCAAAAACCTTGTTACGGATTTAAGTCATTTTTGGGCGGAGTGTACATCTATTAAAGGTCACTAAAACTGCATGGTGCTTATTTCGATCTGTAATTATGCCGTTATGATTTACGCATACTTTTTGCTCTCGGTTTGATAAATAGGAGACAATCCATTTCAGAGCCGGACCTCTAATGCCGTATCTTTCTAATTTTACTATGAGAAAGTCATGATTTAAACAATCATAGGCTTTAGCTAAGTCTAAAAACACACCCAAAGCTAGACATTTACTCTCGAAAAAATTAATGATGTCATTTGTAAAATTATAGATAGCTGTATTTATTATAATATAATAATTTTAATAATATATAATATAATAATAATATCACATATAACACATACACATAGTAAAATAAAAATGATTGTGCAGCCCTCTGATAACTTAAAAAATCTCGAGAAATAATGACTTTACTGTTGTAGGTTAATTGCATGGAAAGTATTGAATAATTGGAAAATTGTACCAAAATAAAAATTCTGCCAGTGGCGTAGATGTTAGGTATGGGAAACTACTCCTCTACCCCTGTCATACGCCACTGGTAGTAGCCATGAACGATTTTGTAGCATTTTTTAATATGTTCTAAAGTATCTAAACTTTATGCCAAATATCCAACTCTGCAAGGAACCATATTTTATCTAAGTGTTGTGTCAATTCTTCATATTTTCAGCCCGGGATTATCCAGTTAGCGTATGTACAATTATCAATGAATCACCCTGTATAGTTGACGAAGCACGTTGTGCAGGTTGTTGCAGAGACTTTTCCTTATACGTTTATTTAATAAACTGTGTACTGGATTTGTACGGGTTCGGGCAAGACTTCTAGTTGGTTTCCCTAACTAATTTATTTAACAATATTTTTACATACATAGGTACACAAATTTACTTGTGTTTGTTTGTTTAGGAAAACACTTCAAGTTAATAAACAACCATCAATCACCTTGAACAACTCTAGACGATCTGCCAGTCTCTGGATTGTCCTTCCTCTCGCATACTTCATCTCTCCCCATTCAGCACCTCCGCACATTTTTGCGGCACATTTAAAAACCACTACAACTGCATGTGTACAAAAAATAATATTCATAACAGTCTTATTGCTGTTCTGTTGGGAATAAAATAATAGAAAAAAATTGAAAGTAATTAAAGACAAAAACGTTCGAAATGTGCGTGAAGTAATTGTAAACATAATATAAAATATGTGCAAATTGCAGTCTGAAAATAATGTCTTAAATGTGTCCTTAATTGCCACAACTCCCGTTCTTGTGCCAGAAAATAGTGTGTCAATTTGACATAACTAGACGAATGCACTCCCTTTCTGAACCACTTTTCTTTCATTGATAGTATAGTCTTTACTATCAATAAAAGAAGACTGAGCATATATCATGTAAGGTTTTTTTGTTATTATTGTTATAAGAGAAAATCAAGGAATTCTATTTTTAAAAATTTATTCTTACAATAAAAACAATAAAAAACAAATCAGCAGGTCCATCTGCATTTGTTCCAATTTTTGTTTGATCAATGTAACTGTGTGGGGACAAGCATTGTCGTAAACCAGTTCCACACTTATTATCACCTTTTTTGTCTATAAGCGAGTTTAACTATGTCGCTTGTAGATAAAATCAATGAGTATTAGCCCCTGTAAGAACAGGTGCTCTTTCTTCGGGTTTTCTCCACTCCATACTTGCTCATGAATTCAGGAAAGTAATAGTGTGCCCATGCAATTAGGCACCTCAAAAATTCTCCATCTGAAAGATGGAGAATTCTAACAAGATGTTGAGTCTTTCGAGTTGTAAATAGTGAACATTTTACCTGCTTAAAAATAATCAAATTTACAAGATTTTGGGGCAAAATCTCTACTGTCAACCTTGAAACAAGGTTAAATTTTCAATACAATTTTGTACAATGAATTAATGAATATTTAGAAGTTTGTGGTGCAGTAACCCAATATTTTTATCTGAAATGCAACAATTAAATTTTGATAGTTTTTTTTTATGTATAAATACCACAAATTGACATAATGTATGTCAAATTAGGGCAAATAAGAACAATCGGACGCGGTACTTACTTGGTCAATCTAGACATTGTAATACCCACAACTTGATTTTTAAATTTTAGGTACGACAACGTCAATAAATCAGTTCCAGATGCTTTCAGTCATCTCTTAGAAGAAATCCATAGATTAGAATCTGAATTAGGGCATTTACCACAAAAGTGGAAAGTTTTGTGGGATAAATTAGAACTTCCTATAACAGATTCCCTTACGGTAAGTAAATAAAAATTAATTGAAAAAAATGGGTAATTATTTCTCTTCCAGATAGACATTAATATTTTATATCATTATTAAAAATAATAAACTCATCTGTTTTAGCGTCACTCTTCGTTTAGTACAGCTTTGGTCAGGTCTCATGGAAAACAGGTACACAAGAGGTCCACACTGGAAATCTTGATGAGGGGCAAAATAGTGGGAGCTGCAGAAACATCTTTAGTCTATTCCCACCCACATAGGTTTGAGCGTTACAATTATACTACACCGACATACTGCGATCTATGTGGAAACTTGTTATGGGGTCCCGTCAAGGTAAGTATTAAATATTGACGTGATACATTTTTTAATAAATACTAATGTAATAATTGAAATTACAACAAGATTGATGTTTTCAGACTGGTATGAGGTGTATGGATTGTGGTTATAGCTGTCATGAAAAATGCATGGAAAGTGTACCGAAGAACTGTACGAAATATAAGTCAGTCTCGGACAGCACAACCACACAAACCATACAGGGTAATGCTGGCGATAATGGATCTGTAAGTTCAGGTAAGAATAAATCTTCCACAAGTGTTTTAGATAGTGAGACTATATATATTTTTTGTAGGAAGTGCAAGGCAAACGTCTAGTCAACAGTACTATGATCAGTTTTCATCAAATGTAGCTGAGGACAGGACCCATGAAGGGTATCTGTATAAAAGAGGTGCTCTGTTGAAAGGGTGGAAACAGCGATGGTTCGTATTGGATTCTATTAAACATCAGTTGAGGTATTACGATGCAATGGAGGATTCACATTGTAAAGGCTACATTGGTAATTATTTCTGCTGTTATAGATGTTACGTTCATATACAGGGTATCCCAGTGTAAGCATAGACCAAACCAAACCAGTCCAAAATAAGAATAAAATTCTGATATTTTTCTGCCATGCACTCTCACTGAGTTACAGGGTGTTGTTTTGAAAAAAAATAACAACTTTCCACAATAACTCAAAAACCTTGTTACGGATTTAAGTCATTTTTGGGCGGAGTGTACATCTATTAAAGGTCACTAAAACTACATGGTGCTTATTTCGATCTGACGCCAGGGGCGGCCTAGGCCAACTTGTCCTCAAGGTTGTCTCCATAACATTTGCATATCCTAGTTTTATGTAATTTGATTAAGTTTTCCTGAATCTGCAGTAAATTGCGTCTAAAGTATTGACTGCATTAATTGTTAACTTGTTTACTGTTGAGGAAAATAAAATTGAAAATTATGTAATAAAAACGAAATTATGTTAGCAATATGACAATATTAAAAATAAAAATAGAAAACGATTATTTCAGTAAATGCTGGAAATGCTGCCCATTTACTTCATTGCATGCATCGTTTGATCAAGGAATTGTAAACCCTTCGGAAATCAACGGTTGCGTGAATTTGCTCGGCAGCTGAATTAATTTTTTGAAGTAAATTGTCTCTTATGTTACTGGGTTTGACATACACCAGTTGCTTCATATGACCCCAGTAAAAAAAATCAAGCGGGTTGAGGTCAGGGAACCTGAGAGGCCACATAACAGGTCCATTTTTACCAATCCAGCATTCTGAAAAATGTAAGTCAAACCACGCAGATACCTGTCTTCCGTTATGAGCAGGTGCTCCAGTCTTGTTAATAGTACATTTGATTTCGCAAAGCTAAGGGAACGTCATCTAGTACACCACTAACAATATTTTCTAGAAAATCCTTGTATCTCTCTGATTTCAAAAGCTCTACAATAATTTGAGGGGGCAGAATGACTCCGTTGAAGATTCCTCCCCAGACATTTATCAAGATTGTTCTTTGAAACGCAGAGGGTTGGAAAACTTGTTGGATACATGGTGTGAAGGTTGCTTTCTGTTTGGAAACTTGCGTAGATATTCTCATGAGGCCGCCAATGAATTTCCATCACAGAAACCGCAGACAAATGTCATAACAGCAAATTCGTTGTTGAAAAATTCAATAATACTTAATTTTTTGTTGTTTTATTAATTAATTTCTTATAACTTCGATACTTTAATTCATTTTGACATGTAAGCTTGTAAACAACTTTGTTTTTTATAATGACAGGTACCTACTAGATAACAACAAATAAAATCTTCACATGCATTTTTCTACGAATTAATGCAGTCGATACTTTAGACCCAATTTACTCGAAAACGGTTCATTTTGAGCTATGAAACAAGAGCACATTTTTTGTACAGAATTGATTGCAGATTCAGGAAAACTTAATCAAATTACATAAAACTAGGATATGCAAAAGTTATGAAGACTTAACCTTGAGGATAAGTTGGCCTAGAACTTTAATAGATGTACTTCACCCAAAAATTATTTAAATCCCTGAAAGGGTTTTTGAGTTACTCCGGAAAGTTATTATTTTTTTCTAAATAACATCCTGTAACTCAGTGAGAGTGCATTGCAGAAAAAAACAATTGGGACACCCTGTATAGTATACAGGGTGGGTCAACTTTAATGCTTTAGGAAAATTTCTTATAAGAGAATTTTTTCATTATTTACCTGACCTGGTGGCAGCTCCAGCTATCAGGGAAAGTAATTAAAAGTAATTTCAGCAGTATGCCCTATGAAAAGGTAAATAATTTGGACTGTGGTTTTTTGCCGAATATACACCGGGTGATTTCTATGAAGGAGAAACAATAAGATTCCCCACCGACCTGGTGGTTACACGTTCTGCCTTTTGTTAGGTCGTTCAACTCTCAGGTCGTTCAACTCTCAACAATTTTTAGACTTTAGGTCAGTGATGAAATTTTATTTAATTTTCTTTCAGATTTAGCAGAAGTGATGTCTGTAAATCCTGCACCTCCAGCTCCTGGTCCTCCGAAAAAGACAGATGATAAATCATTCTTTGATGTAAGTGTATATTTTAATGGTTCTTGTTCTTTTTATAGAAATTTAAGCTTTGTTTTTCTAGTCACATCATCTATAACGTGTCATCTCTATTTCTTCAAATTTTAAACAAACAAAATGTTTTCCTGAAATGTAATCACAAAAATTACCAACAATAATTTTCTATGCAACTTTACAGTCGCAGATAAATATTGTACATATTTATCTTTTGTTTCAGTTGCGCACTAGTCGTCGTACATACAATTTTTGTGCCACAGATACTGCATCAGCACAAGAATGGATTGAAAAGCTTCAAGCTTGTCTCTAATACTCCTTATCCAAAGTTAGTTTATTTAATTCCTATTTTAATGGTAGGCTGACAATAAATGTTTTATTTTTTAGTCATTATTTATATTTTTCTATGTATACATATATTTGTTTTACGTATCTGCACAAAATATATGTTTTTTTATGTGTTATCTTTATATAGTTATATTTGTAAAACAGTGTTTTTATGTGAAGCTCAAATAGATAACTAATAAATCTAGTTAATTAAATGTTACAATTAACGTAAAAAGTTGCCATTTGACTTAAATTTTATAATCGGTTGTTATTACGGTCTCTATGTAGCTCGTGTAAATTGCTTAAGTTTTTATTTGCGTTTTTACCAGAATTTATATATAGTTTTCAAATGTTTTTAGATGCAAGTGGGCTCTAATTTAATTTGTTGTTGTCTACTTTTAACGAATTACAAATTATTCTTTCACTGTCGCTCTCTGAATGCCGCAACTGTAACTACAATTTATAGCAATTAACCCTCAAATAAATTATTTTATCCTTCGTAGAGAATTATACCAACTTAAATACAAGGTGTTAATTTAATATGTTGACAAATTCTCAGGGGTGAGTCTGTAAGTGTTTTTAAGAAAAAAAGGTTATATGAATGTATATCCGAAAATCGAGAATTTGCAAGATACAGCATGTTGAAAAACTATGAAAAAAATTTCACATATTTCACACGATGAACCTTTGATCTAATAGTTTATCTACAAGGCATGTCACAAAGTAAGAGTACTCAATTTCTTAAAAATCGAAACGCCAGTATATTTATGAAAAATGTACATATTCAGAAACTATTTTTTGACATAGTTGCATTCAACCTCAATGTACTTTGCGAGCCGAGGGATGTCCAAGCTGTCAGAAAAGATACCTTCATCAAAAAATCTTCTGACGCTTCTCGGCCCATTGTTTCAGGAAACTGTGGATCCCGTCGTCAGTAGAAAACATTTTTTCACCCATAAACACCTTTAAAGAAGAGAAAAGATGAAAGTGAGAAGGTGCCAAGTCAGGGCTGTCAGCAGGGTGGTTAATGATATTTCAACCGAATGAATCCAAAGGTTGCTTTGTGGCGTTGGCTGTGTGGGGACGTTTGTCATGCAAAAAGCACATTCCCCTTCTTTTGTTTTGTATCGCCCTTCGTACTGTTTTGACAGATTCACAGTACCACACAGCATTAATTATTGTTTGCCCCTGGGGCAAAAAGTCAACGAGGAGAATCCGTCTACGTTCCCAAAATAAAGTTGCCAAGATTTTTTGAGCCGAAACAACTGTTTTAAATTTTTTCCCTGATGGTGAAAGACGAATATCGACAATGCATTGATTGTCTTTTCGTCTCAGGGGTGTAGTGAGCCATCCATGTTTCATCGCCAATCAAGCAATTGTTCACCTTCCAGTTCGAAACCCTCGAGAAATTCACGTGAAGATGTGATTCTATTGGCTTTGTGTTGACCTGTGAGCTGTTTTGGTACCCACCTCGCACACAATTTTCGATAACCAAGTGTTTCAGTAATGATTTCATCCAGAAGAGATTTGTGGAAACACTGCATTCATCTTGTCCAAAGTCAATTCGATGGTTGCCACAAAGCATTTCTTCGATTTTGTTCACCATCCCATCAGTCACGATTGAGAGATGCCTACTCTTTTTTCCATTGTGAACATTGGTTCTTCCACGTTTACTGTCTATCTCACAGCTGGCAGGATTCGGAACAGTGGCACTCATTTCAACATGCCACTACAACAACAGTTCTCAACTGTCTGAGACAAATGAATGTGTATTCTGCTCTCAACATCTTGGCCTTCAGTGCAGTGTAGCCAACATTGTCAAAAACAAAAACCACAGAGCATCCGAGTCTCAGTACTCTTACTTTGTGGATATGCCTTGTAATTAACAGTAAAATTCCACTGAATGTGGATATAAATACGTGTACCGGTAGCAGAAGTACTGGCAGCCATTCTCATTAAATATCAAGAAAATTTAAGCCATTGGATATTTTGAAAATTCGATCGCTGTTTATAATTCCTAGTGGTGTTTCCAAAAAAATTAATATCTCATTAAACTCATAAAGCGCACAATATGGTCCTTTTTATTCTTACTATTAACTAAATATTTCACAAATTTAAAATAACTAAAACTATTATTTTTTCAAAGTTCATAGAACTTTTTTGTTACAAGTATATATTTTTAAATATATCAAAAATTAATTGTTAACGTAGGAAGTTTGCGTTTTGTGTAACGTAGGAGATATAGCCGGAAAAATTGTTAAATCAATTATCTCCACTGGTACATTTATATTCAAATTCAATGGATTTTATCTTTAATTAAATAAATTTAATGATTGTCATCAATCTGCATCAAACACATTCAGAGCTATTTTTTGCAAACTTCAACATCATGTATTTCAAAAATTATCGATTTGCAAATCCGCATACATACAATCTTTTTAGCTTAAAGTCATGACTCCTATAATTTTGTCAACATAATTAACACCCTGCATAAATATGTTTCTTAAATCATAACGATATTCAAATAATTTTCACACAGAAACTGGCCAACAATATACAAATTTCCGGGATCAAAAATATAGTTCCATTTAAAATATTCAGGTTGGCCCCTAAATGACCTTGAAGGTCATGTTCAAGGTCATATTCGAATGTAAAATTTTCCGCTCACCATATCTGGGGTCAAAAGTATACGGTTCCATTTAAAATTTTCAACTTGACCTCTAAATGACCTTCAAGGTCAAGGTCACCGTTGGATTGCTCAAAACCCCGCAACTTTTGTCCTAATAATTTTTTTGTTTGAGCATTATTTTCTAAGATAGAGGGGGGGTTTCAATATTTTTGAACAGTATGTTGCTAATTATGTTTATTATTGTCTCTACTTCCAGCAGTGAAAGGATTATCTGAAAAAACTAGTCCTATTGAGTTTTCTTTAAGTTTCCATTATAGCACATTGTATCCTTTGAATAATTATGTATGGAGATCATCAGTGTACAGTTCAACAATAAAGTATTACATAATTAAAAGATAATTAATATTTTTAATAGATGCTGTAAATACAAATCACATTGTGAATCCTACTCGTCTGAAAACATTGTGAATGGTTTATATTCTCATTAATTTATTTGTATTTGGCTAAGCTTTGATATTATAATTGTTAAAAAATTAAAGTATAATATTATAAATTACTTGTGGTGTCAGAATCATTCTTTGGTCTTTGTAGCAGAAATATTTGATTTGCAACCTGTAGAGTTCCCCTCAATTATTATAAGGTAAGTATAAAAAAAATTTTATCATATGTACAGGGTGTGCCATTTAACACTCCCGCTACCAATATCTCCGAAATGAAGAATCTTATTTTAGTTCCGGAAATTGGAGTTATGTCTCTCGAATAGCTTCAAATTGCAGTTAAAACTGTTAGTTCAAATCTTTCTATATAGATGGTGTGGCGATACAAAAAAATTTTTTGATCCCTGGAATGTGGAAATGAAGTCCATCTGAAAGATCGTTAAATTCTGTGTAATTTTGTAATATAAAGTTTTTTTCCTATATTTACTTATTTTCGAGATATGTCGACTTCAATATGCAATTTATGATATAACGGGAAAATCTATTATTTTATCTAAATCACACCGAGACAAAATATTCTTTTAAAATATTGTTATAATGACTTTATTCACACCACATACTAACTAACAAACAATAAATTATAAAAAAACAAATGATCAACTACAGAAAAAAAAATTGTACAGTGGTAAATCGTATAACTAGTAGATATAGTTAAATTGAAAGACGCAAACTGATCAAACTGTAATTATTGGAAAACTAATATGTGCCATGTTTTATTTTAATTAAATGACATGAGCCACCTATGATAGCATTTTTTAATAACATTTAAGATTTACCATTGTACAATTATTTTTTTTCTGTAGTTGATCATTTGTTTTTTTATAATTTATTGTTTGTTAGTTAGTATTTGATGTGAATAAAGCCATTATAACAATATTTTAAAAGAATATTTGGTCTCTGTGTGATTTAAATAAAATAATAGATTTTCCTGTTATATCATACATTGCATATTGAAGTCGACATATCTCGAAAACAAGTAAATATTTGGAAAAATTACTCAAAATTTAACGAACTTTCAGATGGACTGTATTTCTACGTTCTAGTAGCAGTTTTTAACATAGTAACTAAAACAATTGCATTGCAAGTCATATTTTTTAAATGTGACTACAACTTTGATTCTTATTACATTAAACAGATAAAGGTTTTTTCATTTTTTTGTATCTTTTTCGATATAAATATGATTATATTTATCAAAAAAATTTTTATTTCTCATAAAACGGACAGTAGTTTCTTATTGAATTCATCTAATTCAATTCTCTTCAAATAAGAATAATCACAGAGATTAAAATCCGACTGTCACAATCTACAAAATGGAAAAATCTGAGTATACGAGATGAATTACTTTTTATATTTCGACAAGAACAAAAAAATAAATTAATCATCGTATACGGCTTTATTATTTCTCAAAATATTCTCCATGAAGACCCATACACTTTTACAAGCGCTTGAACCAATTTGCGAAGCACTTTTTCCATTCCGATTGGAGTACCTCAAAAAACATGCATTCTGAACGTATCAACCCTGTCTTCAGTCGTCGAAAAATGTTGACCTCGTAATTTATTTTTGATGTGCGGGAATAAAAAGTCATTGGGTGCCAAATCAGGGCTGTACGGTGGATGACTCATCAATTCAACTTTTTCAGTTCTTAATAAGTCTTGTTGGAGCCAATGTGTGAAAGCTTGCTTTTGGTGGAGAATGATGCGTCTTCACGGGTTGGTTACCCTTATTCTTCTGAAAACTCCTAGCAAACAAATGGTTGTATACCATTCAGAATTGACCATCTGACATTGCACTAATGGTACAATTACCATGTCTCGTTTTTTCGAAAAAGCAGGTGATTATTTGATTAGAAGTGCTTCATGCACGAAGAACTTTTGTTGGATTTGGTTCATCTTGAAAGACCCATACAGTCGACAGCTGTTTACTTTCGGGTTCATAAGCCTAGATCCATGATTCGTCACCTGTTATGATGACATATACATGTTTTGAAGCACCATGATCGTATTTGTTGAGCATTTCTTTCGACCAATCGACACGAGTCTCTTTTTGAATGTTTGTCAAATTATGTGGAATCCAACAAGAACAAATTTTGTTGGCGACCAAATCATGCAATATTGAATGTATGCTGGTCCCACTAATGCCCAACGATGCTTTAATCTCACGATAAGTCACATGACGATTTTGTAATATCAGTTCACGTACAGCATTAATGTTTTCTGGAACAACAATTGATTTTGGATGAACTGCACGAAATTTGTCAGTAAACAAACCACAGCCACGATTGAATTCCATATACTACCAATATACAGTGGTTTTTGATGGCGCTGCATCGCCAAAAGTTGCATTAAGTTCAACGATGCTGTCGAGATAATCCACGTCGAAAGTTGCACGGAAATGTTCACAAGTTAATTCTATTTTTTGCCCGAGATTAATTTTTCATATCACTGTAAACAACACAAATAGCGCCTGTACGTCAAAACATTCTGAGCAAGTATACAGACAAAAAGTCGAACTTTACGATAGGGACATCGGTCGTCAGATGGTAGCACCAGGATCGTCCATTGCCGAAATATAAAAGGCAACCCCCGGATATTTTAATTTTTTGATTAAATTCTGGATTCCATTAAACATTATTTAATTTTTATTAAATATTTTTTTTAACCAATTTATTCAGAATTGAATTGAGGTGGAGTTATTTTCCCTTTTCTGTATTTCTGTATGTAATTTTGAAATGTCCTGCATAAATTATGTGATTGTTGCCAATATTTCCCTTAATTATAAACTAAATAATAAAGTACGTAAATATTTTCATATTCTCAGAGCGCACTGAGAGACAAATAATTTCAAAACACCGTTAATATAAACTTGCATTGATTGCACATTTAAAATAAAATGTATAAAATTTGAGTAATTTTCAATAATTGCTCTAGAAAAATTTGTAATTTTTTCTGGTGCCCCTATAAACATAAAACAAAATTTACATATAAATATATCCAACTTACCATGCCAGAATATTATAATTCCAGTTAAGTTTTTGTAAGCTTGTAACAACACATAAAATTATCTTCAGTAATAAATCAAAAATTATATTAAATACATTGATTTATTTACAGTGCAACATATAAGCAATAAAACCACTTAAAAAAATAATAAATAGTCTTCTTTATTTGGCTACAGTATATAAATGAAAAAATAAATGCTTTATTACATGCTCAGTGACCTAGCACTTACAATTAGCTAAATAGTTAAATTAGTATTTTATTTTGATATAAATTATATCAATTCAAATAATGTTTCACCAATAGGTCCGTTGCGTATCTTACAAAAATGGTTTTTAATTATAAAAAAATTGCAAAGAACAATTACCAGCCATAATAAAGACAGAAAACTGATTAGGAAAAGGATGCAAAGAGGACGACACCATTAGCGATATGCAACACACCTATACATTAATATTGAATACATACATAGGGAATGTATATTGGTTTTCACTTCACGAAAATATTTTCTTATTGGAATGATTTCATAGAATATTCGAGTTATCAAAGGCTAAATGTAGCAGCACTGAAGTTACATTTAGCTAAGTCACTTTTACATATAATCGAATAACATATAAACAATTAGTTGCCTTTAATAATACATAAAATTATAAAATGTAAAAATGGACAAGTTTTAAAAATCTCATATTGTTCTCTGTAAAATGTTTCCATTATGTTTCCATTAATAAGAAAAAATGTTTAAGCTTTAACAAAGCAATAATTATCATAATTATGTAGGGTGTTCCGATTAAATAGCGGAAAAATTTACATTCAAAAGAGGAAATTATTTTCTCATTGGACTGACTAAAATTTAGATATTATTTTTAATCTTTACATTGGGAACCTATTAGTAACACCTTGTTTAAAATGTTTTATAATAAACAGCTTCAGAAATGTTTCAGAAAAATAAAATTCCAGGTGCTCACCTTTAAGGGGCTTAGCAAGCATTTCTCCACCAATGTTTAACTCAGAATGTGCTGATAATTTGTTGCAGACTAATTTTGGGACACTTTGAGACACTTTTACCCATGGGTAAAATAGCAAAACATTTTGATGTAACTAAAAGGCAATATTCACTCATTTATAATTTTAAATTTTATGGCACAAAAGTGAACACCTTTGCTAATATTTTGAATTTATATAAAGATACAATTAGAAATTGATTATGTTTCTATCTCTTGAGGGCCTTACTCTTTAACATGCTGGTAAATTATTGTTATTTTTCGCTTTCATAAATGTAAATTAAATTTAAAATGAAAATATATTTAGTTTCAGTATGCAAATTAGTTTTAGAGAAGAAAATTTCTTAACCCTGCACATTAGGAGGTTCAGAAACTTGGATTTTTTTTATTGCATAAATTATTGTTAGTATAACTATTCAAGACTACACTATCAAAATTTCAAAATGAAGTTCCTATTCGTTCCAATTTTATAAGCCTAAAACCGAATGCCCATCTGGTCAGCGCTCAGGTACACAGCAGGTACGGCGGAGCACTTGTTCAGGTAGTCTAGTCGTTTATTATGCAAGAAAAGAACAGATGAAAGCTCAGAATGATGCCTATGCGAAAAAGAACGACTGTTATATGGTGCTGGAATCGCTGAGTGATGGGAAAGTACTCTCTATGACTGATAACTTTCTCAAATTTCTAGTTTTTGCAAATTTTCAAACACGTTTTTCTTAAATCAACATTTTTTTTATTCAAGAGAACTCTAGCTCAAATACTTATGAACCGATCATTATAAAAATTGGAAGTGTTTTTTTTATGAAATTACAAAGAACATGAACCAACAATTGAGATGATATAATTTTAAGGGTGTTTTTTTATTCAAAATAAGTAAAAAAAATGGTGAAAATCGATAAATTTTTTTCAAACGTGTCAAAACTTCAATTCTTAGAAAACATCTTAATAATGCAGGAAAACAACCATTTTGCTTTCAGATCAAGATTGGGACCTCCACATTTCCTATGAAGAACCAACTCGGACGACGACCTTCGTTGGACAATAGCCCATAACTTCGTCATTTTCAACACAAACGACATGAAAAAATTTGTAAATGTAGATCAAAATATTGATAAAATAATGTCAAAGTTTGATAAAATTCTAATCAATTTGTCCCACTCAAAAATTAATAAGAAACGCCCAAAAATCAGCCTCCTAATGTGGTTTCCCCCCTTAAATAAGACTGAAATATTAACAAGTGTCGTTTTATTATAAATATCAAGTTTCATAATTTCCTATTAACAGGAGATATTGGAAACATTTTTTAAATACTGTATTATGCACAAACTGTTTCATTAAAATTTATTACATGCACAAGTGTACAGTGGACCTACAAACTTCGAACATAAACCGGCCCTGGAGAGAATTTTGCTTTTAAATTAAATACACATATTTTTTCCAATGCTTCCTTTTTAACATTAGTGCCATAGGCAACAGCAGAATTGTAGCACACATTTTTTTCAGCATCTGCTGGTTCAAATTCATCATAAAGCATCATTGAAGTTGGGTGTGAGAAGTTACTAGTTTTGACAATAATCCAAATGAAAAATTTTGTTTGGTAGAATGTGACATTCCTCGAGACGTTGCAAGCAAAAAATTTAAATTTGATAAATAGGCAATATAATCTATGTGCATATCTGAAATGTATGTGAAAAATTTTAATTTTGCTAATAGTATGGGTAGTATGTTGCCTATCAGTGCAATAATTATGCTTGTAAATTAATTATTAAAAATAATATTGAAATAATGTAAAGGCCGTGGTGTAAATTAGTAAAAATATGCTCTCTATTGAAATTGCTGCCTCCTTCGGGTAGGAGAAGGTGTACAAATCGATAAAAATATACCTTCTACTAAAAGTATTACAGATTAAAATTCAAAATGTTAGTCCTTTGAATGAGGAATATACTAAGTGTATATACAATTTACAACTGGAAATCAAGACGTCATTGTCCTGGTATACAAAAACTTATAAGGTACCTACTTAAAAATCAGACTCACTGAACCAACACGGAGAGGGAAATTGGTTTTTACCCAACTTTCGGTTTCTTATTCTTGTTTCAAATGCAGGTTTTCCTCAAATTTTTGTTTGACTTGGGGGAAATATTTCAGCATCATTTGAAGTTCTAGGTCCACTGTATTTTTTATAGTGATGTATATTATGGACATCTCATGGCATACCAGGCAACATTTTAATGAAATGCCATTTCTTATATTACCTGGTATATCACGAAAGTATCCAAGAAAATAATACAGTGATGAGGAACGATTAACATGTCTGAATATATATTCATTTTGACATTTACGATTGTATCACAACGGATTAAAAATACTGTACAACTAATACTATTTGAAAATATTCGAAATATTTTTTTTCATTTTCCATTAACTTCTTTAAATGGAAAGATGAGATTATATAAAACTTAACTATGATATGTCTTATATACTTTTTATATTCGATGAATAAGTACATTTAATAATACATTTTTTTTCTTAGTCACATAACAAATATATAAATATTTTGAAAAGATGCAAAAATTTAACAATTGTACAATTTGTCAAATCTAAGAACAGCATAGGGAATTTTGATAAATTAGATTACTTCCTTGAAATGCGAGCGATCAATATAGTATCTAACCAGTTCACTGCTCAGCATTTTCAATCATGTTATTATACTTTTATTGTTATAATTCATACCAGTTTCTCAAATTACAATTCAGACAATAGTGCGTGTTATAAAATATTTCATATTATCACTATCTTTTATTATGTATACGATATACTCTAAAGATAATATAATTTTGTCAGTGTAAAAATTGTGTCCCCTAAAATTATAATAATGAGTTTGTTTGTCACTTTTTAGGACAAATAAATTAAACTTGTTCTCCTGAGTTGACATTTAAATTTAATTTTAAATCATCTGTAAGGTGAAATACATAATTTAAAACATAATTTAGAACCATTATGCGCCACTGACTTTTTTAAAACTTTTATAATTTTTTTCGCATTAAGCAACTAAAAATACAACTTTTTGGCCTCTTGAATTGTTTTCGTATCTTGCAGAAAAAAAATTTTTTTAATAATTAAAACAAAAATTTTTCTTAGCTAGCAATTTCTAAGACCAGAATAGACTATTGATATGGAAAAAAATTACAGATACACCCCAATTTTTGATAGTTTGATAGTTTTAAGGTTTATCGGGTTCCGAGGGGAGTGAGGATCACAGGGGGGGTCCTATGCTTTCCTTATAGGGCTAGAGCCATCTATATAGCAATATGCATATAGCATGCATATTGACTAATTAACAACTTAAAAATATCATATTTAAGTAGTTTTAAATTATATTTAATGAATGCGTAAACACTATGTAGATGTGGCAACAGCGTTAATAATCGAGTAGCAGTTGTACACACTGCGAACCTACAGACCTCGGACATCGGAGATTTATTGCACGTCAAGTTCAGGTAAAGATATGTATGCGTTCAAAAATGTATTGTGTGTAAACTATGTAAAATATAATTATTATGTATTGCAAGTATATCGTATTATCTTCGCGAAGACTTGTATCCTTTATTTAAAATCCGTAAATCATGTGAACTGGTATAACAACGAGAATTATGTTAATTTATTTCTAAAGAAATGAAATGACGCTCGCGCCCATCTCTTGTCCAAGTCAAAGAAAATGTTAGATGCAATTTTGAAGGTTCTGTGATATAAATTACATTATTACTCACTGTTCCTGTTTTTAATCTCTAAATATTGCTGGGTAATGATTACAATGTTTTTCTAAACCATTAAATATATTAAAAGGATTTATAACTGAATTTTATATTCCAATAAATATACCACAGCTTCCTACCCTTTCTAAATTAATTTAGTTTTTTTAAAAACATTACAAAAAATCATCTGTAGTGGATAATTTATTGTTGATAATAATGTATATGCATTTTTTTTCTCCAAAAAGGAAACAAGGCACGAAAAAATTCAAGAGACAAAAAAGTTGTATTTTTAGTTGCTTAATGCGGAAAAAATTATAAAAGTTTTACAAAAGTCAGTGTCGCACATTTTTTTTCGTAAAGAATATTGGTTAAGGTACCCCCCAGGGTGCCACTGGACTTAAATAATTTTAATCTAGTTGGGGCTACCCCTTTCTACCATGAATAACACTGCCAAATTTCAACAAAATCGGCTAAAGGATTTTTAAGATTTTTACGAAGAAACAATTTTTTATAAGAAGTTTGACACCCTGTATCTTGAAAATGAAACATTATCGGACATATGTTTATATAAACTTTTCGTCCTAGAATCACTCAAAGAATCTTCCCTTGAAGTTTGGCCACATACTTAAATAACACCCTGTATAATGTCCAAGTCATCAATATATTCTGTGAAAAAGCTGTAATAAATATTGCACCAAGAGATATTATTTCTCTAATCTTGTTAAAAATCAATTGATCGCAAGCCAACAGGTAAACACCTAGGAGCATTTTTTAGGAGTTATTTAATTAATGCCCGTTTGGGCAATAAAGTATTATTATTATTACTATTATTATTCTTGGAATTGTTTTATATTATCTAAATGTGTCTATGTATTTCCTCTAACAGTTCAGAAGATTTAAAATTAAATCAAAACATTGAAGAAAACTCTATTTAACCTAATAACGGGAAAACAAACTAATAATAATAAAAGTTGACTCGGATTAGTCAATATTTTTTGTGATATTTTGTCGAAAACACTAAATATTTATTANAGCTTCCTACCCTTTTTAAATTAATTTATTTTTTTAAAAACATTACAAAAAATCATCTGTAGTGGATAATTTATTGTTGATAATAATGTACATGGAAAAAAAAGAGCTGCACCGTCCATCTTCGCCATATAAACCTATGTTAAAATGAACAACTTTCAGCAACAATATCTCAAAATGTAGATTCAAAAAAAATTTCAAAAAATATGACGCAAAGTGGGAGCACTGGGACATACGCTATATAAATTTCAAGTACATCTCTGCATTTTAGTAAACCTGATATACCTCCTTAATTATTTATTATGTTGCCCAGGGACATGCAATTTTTTTTTCTCCAAAAAGGAAGCAAAACGAAAAAATTTAAGACAAAAAAAAGTTGTATTTTTAGTTGCTTAATGCGAAAAAAATTATAAAAGTTTTACAAAAGTGAGTGTCGCACATTTTTTTTCGTAAAGAATATTGGTAAAGGTACCCCCTGGGGTGCCACTAGACTTAATAATTTTAATCTAGTTGGGGCTACCCCTTTCTACCATGAATAACACTGCCAAATTTCAACAAAATCGGCTAAAGAATTTTTAAGATTTTTACGAAGAAACTATTTTTTATAAGAAGTTTGACACCCTGTATCTTGAAAATGAAACATTACCGGACCTATGTTTATATAAACTTTTCGTCCTAGAATCACTCAAAGAATCATCCCTTGAAGTTTGGCCACATACTTAAATAACACCCTGTATAATGTCCAAGTCATCAATATATTCTGTGAAAAAGCTGTAATAAATATTGCACCAAGAGATATTATTTCTCTAATCTTGTTAAAAATCAATTGATCGCAAGCCAACAGGTAAACACCTAGGAGCATTTTTTAGGAGTTATTTAATTAATGCCCGTTTGGGCAATAAAGTATTATTATTATTACTATTATTATTCTTGGAATTGTTTTATATTATCTAAATGTGTCTATGTATTTCCTCTAACAGTTCAGAAGATTTAAAATTAAATCAAAACATTGAAGAAAACTCTATTTAACCTAATAACGGGAAAACAAACTAATAATAATAAAAGTTGACTCGGATTAGTCAATATTTTTTGTGATATTTTGTCGAAAACACTAAATATTTATTATAAACCTGCACAATAAATAGGTTATTTTGAGCAGTTAGCACCGAGTCCAGTTTCACAATCTCAATCGGTTTTGGGATCAGTTCTCAATCCCGAGCTAAAGAAATTACATGTAATTTAATGTAACAAGTAGTCTTGTTATAAAAAGGACGACCAATGTATCACTGTCAATTAAAGAGATTTTAATTATAAACGATTCTGTTCAAGTACGAAATGAAGCTAATGATAAACAATTTGGGTTCGAGGTTAATCCAATGAATGAAATCCTACAAAACATTTAAGATTTTGGTTTCCCCTAACCCCTGTATTGTGTATTCGGCTCCTGAATGCAACCAATGCTAAACTTGTTCTGATAAAGATTATCTTCCCTTTAGGATAGCTACCTACTTACCCAAAGTTGCTCTTAAATTTGACAAACTGTGTATTTTAATATATAGCACATTAAAATCGACTTTTTTTAACAATATTATAAGATAACAATAATTTCAGTCAACATGAACGGTAAAATAATTCATTATTGATACATTTTGTATATATTCAAACAGGTTGAGCTTGTACCTTAATTAATAACTGATTGTTATATATAAAGTCTTGTTCGATTAATTCCTCAAGTAAGGCAAATTCTGTATAACCAAAACCCTTCGGATTCAAGTCCAGAACAGGACGTTTAAATGCTTCCAATTCGGGACGGGTCATCATCGTTTCTTTGATACTTCTAAAGGGTTGTCTAAAGCAATATTATTGTCATATGTAATATTTTATAATATTTATTCTTATTTATAATAAACATATGCATATAATGAAAAAATGAAAGTATGCCCAAATACTTTTTCTGATTTTTTTGGCTATTTGGAAAAATGTAAAAACAATAAATTTTGTTATTTCAGTCACAAACATTAATTTGCAAAACCGCAGACTTTTTTATATTTCTTGACATCCTTAAAATTGGTGGGAGGAAAAAAGTTATTTTTAAATGTATGGTTGCTAAAATTAATCGTTTTAAAAAAGGAACACAAATATTTTTGAAAAAATTTTGTACAGAAGCACGTCCACACGCGCATTTATTTACCTTTGTAAGTTAAGTTTGCAATATATGTATATAATCCACACAATTAATAGCTTATAGTAGCTTCTATTGCTTTACAATTTGTATTGCAAGTTTTGACATACAATTTTGTTCCCAATTTAATTATGATCTAGTTTATTTTTAAAATAAAAAACACTTACGTTGGATGAACTATAGTTATCGATAATCTTCCGCTAAAGGGCCAGTCCAGAGCGTTATCGTGTTCGGTTTTCATGACATGTATTAAAATTGCAATGTAATTGTTATCTTTAGGTGATAAATTCAATCTAACACATAATCTAAAAAAAAAAATGAGTTACATTATATTTCAAGAACTGAGTATGATTATCCTATTTTTTATTTTTTGTAAAAAACAATATTTTTTACCTTTTTTATTTGGTTAAAGCATATCCAGTGTTGCCTATTAAGAACGAGGATGCTTCTCTAGAATTCTTTTATATATAATAATGATAATAATATTTGTTTAATCAATGCTATTTTTTTGGGAAAATCATTATAAAGACTTTTTTTTATTAGAAATCTGGTTATGAAGCTTTAATCAGCATGAAGCCTTATCAGATTTAAAGTTTTTTTATGCTTTCCGTTTTAGGTTTAAAATCTAATGCTTTGGAAATGTCTGAAGATGAAAAATTAGCCAATACTGCATTTCAAACAGGTCATCAAATTTTCTCAAATTATAAATCTTTTTTTTTGGAATGATGGAACATTAACATCACAAATTATATCAAAAAAAGTTCATCTAATTAAAAAGTACTTACTTGTAGCCATTTGCAGAAGTATAAAATCCAGCGCTATAATGCATAATATGTGGGTTTTCTCGCATAGCATTTACTTTACTTTTAAAATCGTTAAAATACCACAAGTAACAGCCATTACAATACCGTTGGTGTAGTTTCATAACTGACAAATTATACGAAGAAATTTGTTCAGACATATTTGCTATAATTATATCTTGTTCTCTGGTTTTTTGTTCTAAAAATATAATTTTTTCATACAACGCCCTAAAAGATACATAAGATATTTACTAAATTTCAATTTCGTAAATCATACTGATTTTATACATATTTTAATTTAATTTACGTGTTTCAAATACTTAATAATTGAATTTAAAATTCAAAGGTTTGAATAACACATTAATGCTATTTGTTTGTATTAACACTTTGCAGTTAGACCTAAACAAAAATTAACAAAAATGAAAGACTGAAAAATAAGTTTAAATTTGAAATGTGGGTTTAGTGGTCGAAAGCGTTAACTGAAAAGTCAGACAATAATCAAACTCAATTTAACTTATTTGGGTAAATCGAACTTTGAATAATTATTAACTACTGTTTAAAACATTTAAATATTATGTTCGTTGTTCCCCATTAATTTCATATCGGTCTTTGTTTAATTAGCGGCAGATTTAATAATTAAACTAAGCAAACTGCAGACTTAATCCAGCCACCAAATCTATCCATCTCGCTTACGTGGACACTTTTATAATGCATTGTTGCCAAAGCTGCTCAGGTATTTGTTACATTTTAGTATATACATTACTAATTTATTTATTCTAATAAATTAATCATATATTCTTTATACATATTTTAAAATAAAAATGAATGTATTAAAAGATAACTGACAATTTTAACTTTACTAACTCAAAAACATCCTCAGATTTGGAGGAAAAAATTGTCAAATTAGCGATAGCATTGTGTAATCGTGCTTAACATATAAATGTAAGTAATAGACTTCCAAACTTATATTTTGAATAATTAAAATAATTTCATACATATTCATTGTTCCGGTTGCATTATGAATTATAACGAGAAACCACCTATTCACTAGTTATTAAATATGTCTATGAGGCAATAATAATAATCAAATCTAATGAACTGTTCAACTTAAATTAATATAATGAGTGGAAGTAGAAAATTGAGAAGCTTTAAAATAGTTATAAAACATTAAAATGAAACCTACTTTAAAAGTCCTTGCAGATTTTCATCTTGTGATAATGTTGGAGATTCATTTTTGGCAGGAGGATCCCAAAAATTAGCTTGTTGAGCAATTGCTGAAGAACTTGAAGCAACGTTATTATTAACCATCATTTTCGTGTAAGCTTGAGATAACATCTGCACGAAAAAGAAAAAAATATATTTCAGGAAATTATTAGATCAGAAGCATATTTGCATTATCGTGATATTAAATATTATCTTCAAACTTACGGTTAAATGTTTCTGGACGAATTGTTCTAAATGGCGTTGCAACTCTAGTTCATCCTCAAATTTTTCGTCACAGCCAACATCAACAAAAGAACAACGTACTTTTTCATTTTCTGGCAATTCTGGAGCCTTGTACTCACAAATCATTAAATGAGCTTCTACGTCTAAAGGAGACAGTTCTACTAAACACCCTCTAATAATATTAGGACATTTGGTGCGCTGTTGTGAAATTTCCCTTCTTGTAAAATTATCAGGAAAAATATCGTCCTTCTTTAATTTTATGTTATCAACTGGACAGGCACTTTCCCTTCTAAAAATGACAGCACAATAAGAAAATATCTAATATATGGTCCAAGAAGTGATATATTAAGCTTACATTATTCTCATAAAAAAGAAACAGAGGCATGTGCAAAGTTTGGTTTCCTATATGCTGTTCCAAAGAGCATGTACATAAGTATATTTTTAATTAATAATATAACAGGAAACAACTATTTCATGGGCTATATGCCCCAACCAATTATGCCCCCAATATTAAACTGCTAAGATCATTAGTTAGAAGAGTCACCTTACGATTAGCCAGGTGTAACATAATCAATGAAATGTTGGCATGGGCCTTGGAATTTGAGGCTATGAAACGCACCAAAGTGAAGCAAATAATCACCAAAAAACGAGGATAACGTAGAACAAATAAGCAACAAATATATTTTAAATACTCTTAGTAAAACAGAGAAAGAATGTTAGCCGAGATGAATGTTAATTAAACGTTGGACCTGCCAAAACTTTCACTCAACGAGAAGCACTGAAATATTGGAATTGTGGTGAAAAAGGTCATATTAAATCAAGATGTCTGAAAGACCAAGGGGCAGCTTCTGTATGACTTCACTATTGAACGTAGAATCATGGAAACGTAGATGCAATATCCACAAGACTGTGTTCCAAAAGATGCTCACATTGCAACCCAACAGAGATAAAAGAATTTGTAAACTTGCCCTGAAGGACAGCGGAACATGGGACTCAACCAAAATGGAGAGAAATATTGGACAAATTATCGTTAATAGATTACTGGGCAATAATATGGGACTCGCTTATCCTAGAAAATAAGTTACTGAGGGGCAGTGGCAAAGAAATATGAAAGCACACAATACCTTCTGGAGATGGAATCACAAAGTGCTAAGATAACTCCATGGTGGAGTGGACGGAGTATCCTTTGCGGAAATGACATTAAATAAAGTCAGGGAAAGATTCTACTGGTTGGATAACTGAGCAGATGTAGATTTGTATCGCCGGTGTCTGGTTGCTCTATTAGCAAGGGACCTAGAACTAGAAGCTGCACTCAGATGAAGCAGTACAATATTAGCTTTCACTTTGAAAGAATCGCTGTAGACATTGCCAGACTGTTCCTCCAGACAGAATCTGGAAATCATTTGGATTACTTCAGTAAATGGTGAGAAGTATATTCCATTCCCAATCAACAAGCGGTGACAGCAGCAAAAATTCTCGTTGAAAACCTCTTCTGAAGATTAGGTATTCCAACATTTGGATCAAGGTCAAAATTTTAAATCGGATGTGTTTCAAAAAGTTTCCCAGTTGTTGGATATGAAAAAGACCAGAACAGCACCTCTCCACAATTTGCGTAACATTATACAAAATAGAGATCCTTTATATTATTACTTCTATTTTCTAAACATACTAACAAGAAATAATTATTTCCACCTCAAGTACAACACATTCACGAATCCAAATTTAATTAGAGTTAGTGGTTGTAATTGTACTTACTCTAACCAAGAATGTATACAAGTTCTACAAAATCTGTGACCACATGACGTTAGAACTGGATCTCTTAACCAAGCTAGACAAATGGGACATTCAAATCTTGCTTCAGGTGCTGAATAAGCGTCATTAATTGAACTTTCTTGAGCTAAAACTATTTCAGAACTACCTGTTTTATACCTTTCTCCACTTGCCATTTTCTAAACGTTCTTTATATAACCTAACTACACTACTAATCTTACTATTTTTTAAACTACCTCAAATATTATAAAATAAATTGATATTAAATGTGTATTTAATTTATATTTATTTTAAAGTTATAAAAAAATATACTCGTATATTTAATTATAATTTATCAAAAGATACATCAAATAAATACCAAATAAACTACAAATTACAAATCTCAACAAAATGTCAAAATGACGATCATAGATAAGAACAAGTGACAATTACCATAGAACAGAACTTCTTCTTCTTCTTCTTTTCTTTTGTGGCCTTTGTCCTGTGAAATTAGCCTCAAATATATTAGTTATTTCCTTCACAGGGAATACAAAATTTAGAGATGGGCAATAACGGTTCTTTCCGAGACCCGTACCAGGGAATTGTATTCAATGCGGTGTACATAGACGGCAAGTTGGACTCGCCTCTAAAACCTAACATTAATGAATTAGAACAAGCCTGCGCGTACACAAAGGCGGGAAACTCAAATAGTTTCTGAAAACTAGTCATAAGCACACCATTTTTTAATAATTTTTTTTTTCTTTAGATACTGATTCATTCCCATATATACATATATTTTTTTAAGTTCAATGATTGAATTTATGGTATTTTTTTAAACACCCTGTATGAGGTGGGTTTTATTACATTACATATATTCCATTTTGTGGGTAGTTTTATGGAGTGTATATAAGGACTGACGACTCCGTGTTAAAAAAAGTGAGCCATTTCTTGGGTTACATAAAGGCGGTGCTGACGTAAGTAGAGTATGAGAGAGATGTGTGAGAAATTTAAAATGGCATAATGTTTATATAAATGTAACTATTATTTCTACCTAATTTTTTAATAAATATTAAATAAATCCCTCTGCTTATCTATTACGTCTGACTTTGTAAGCGCAATAACTTCTTTACTAGACTCCAGTGCATCAGCGTTACAACGGCGACTCCTTAAATTTTACTTTAGGTCATAAAATGGGATCTGAATTTGAATGCACAGCCTATAAGAGTCTTTGCTCCTTGTCTACACTCTCGTCATTGGTAGTTTGTTAATATACTTTAGTAGTTCATTTAGAAAGCGCCAGCTCTTATGATGCCTCAATGAGTCCTGTGAATATTTGAATTTATGTATCAAGTATGCAAAATAATAATTTTTATTATTTTTTTAACTTAACATAAATAACTATTATTTCTGGCACAATTAAATTGCTTTTGCAGATTTATAGAGATTTTAGCAAAAAGAGCCAATAGTTAGACGGATCATACATGCATTATTTCATTATTTCCTTCATTGTTTATAAGTACTTAAATCATAATTAAAGAAGCAGAATCACATACGGAGTTAAAAAATATATACGTCTTTGTTAAAAAAATACAAACTTTATACTTATACTGTAATTATTTATATTAAAAAAACTACGTAGGAACTGTTACATGTTATATTCTAGATAATTGATAGAAAAACAGCTGGAAATATACATATTTTGATCTACATTTTTAAATTAAAAAATAAGTACATTATAAATTACTACAAAAATCCTATATTCTGCATTTAAAGTCTAATATAGAAATTTCATGCACTTCATTGTGCATTAAAAGATTCATTTATCACAATATATCCACATATGTGCCATATATATTAGTCTTAAATATAAAATTTACATAGAACTACTGGAATCACCAGGGAAATGCAGCAGCGTCTCTCCATAAGAGGGTGTTGGAGACGCCCGACTTGCAGAACTGAAGCTACTGGCCGAACTTAAATCTTCTATATCTCTACATATGCAATCTGATGCTGACTGTTCTCCCCCTGAAATTTTTTATTTTTACATAAATTTAAAAATAGTTTTCTATTAAAATTTCTTCAAGAAATAATCCAAATATTTTCAGCATTCTGACTCAATTTCAATAAAAACTTCTATTTATTATATCTGATATGACGTATGACATTATAATATCTGATATGACGTATGACGTTATAATATCTGATATAACGTACATATTTGTGAGAATGCTGTATATAAGCTGGACATATAAGTGAAGTAGATAGAAGTACGTCCATATTTAAATATCAAAAATTCATATAACAAAATCATCGGTTGAGAATAGTTCTATTTTATAAAAAAATGAATTTATGAACAAAAATGAAAAGAACTTCATTATCAAAAAAATGTATCCACAAGCTCTTATATTTAATAATGAAACGTTATTATAATATTTATAAGAATACTGATGACATAATTTCAAAGTTATTTGCTATGTGTAATTCAAATAATTATGTCAGACCTAATATGGTTAGATTACTAATTTTATGAAAAATGATCCTGAATGTTTATCAATCATTTCAACACGGGTATACTGTCATAATCGTAGAATTTTAATTTAATTTTATGTCACTATAGGCACAAAGTATTAAAGCAATATCCATTTAATTTTTACTGTAAATACTTTGCCATTTCATATAAATGCTTTCACATATAGTTCACCAATTTATTTATATACATTTATTGTGTAGTAGGTATGTGACTAACATGTACCATAAGCAATTTGCATATACAGGGTGTGCCATTTAACACTCCCACTGCCAATATCTCCGAAATGAAGAAATTTATTTTAGTTTCGGAAATTGGGGTTGTTAGATCCTTCGAATAGCTTCAAATTGTAGTTAGAATTGTTAGTTCAAATCTTTCTATATAGATGGTGTGGCGATACTAAAAAAGTTTTTGTTCCCTGGAACGTGGAAATGCATCCATCGTTAAATTTTGAGTAATTTTTGTAATATTAAGTTTTTCCCTATATTTACTTGTTTTCGAGATATGTCGACTTCAATATGCAATGTATGATATAACGGGAAAATCTATTATTTTATCTAAATCACACCGAGACAAAATATTCTTTTAAAATATTGTTATAATGGCTCTATTCACATCACATACTAACTAAAAAACAACAAATTATAAAAAAAAAAACGAATGATCAACTACAGAAAAAAAAATGTACAATGGTAAATCTTATAAGGGGCAGATACGAACCGTATTTTATCAAATGTTATTATTTATTTCATGCACCATTTTCATTTTCATCTTGCTCGACTCAAAAAAGCGAACAGAAGAAGCAATTCTTCTTCGTCAGAGGAACTACAGGACATGTTGAATTGAGAAAAGAAAACATGAATTTAACAAAGAATGTATTGAAGAAAACAATACGCGCTCTTGACCACAACTGTTTTCATACTTGTTCACCTTGATTAGTCCTCATTCTGCCTGACTACCCTATACCGCGGGGACAGTCCGCCTCCTGTTTGACCGAGCCTTAAACGACGTCACAATGCGTTCTTGATCATGTGACAGAATTAAATTTTTACATAATTTGAAACATACTTAATTAATTTGTAACATTAAGAAATATTATTTTTTTACCACTGTTAGTTGTTATTATAGACTACAAAATTATGCGTTTCTAAAAGAAATTATTATTATTGGTCCTGAATTGCATCAAATATATTAAACGTAGTTGAAAAGGGGTTAAAAAAAATAAGGAAATGTTTTATTTTTATTTCTTAAAAGATATGATTTGCCTATTTTGATATACTAATAATTGTACATAGTTGAAAATGGGTTAAAAAAAAGGAAATGTATTACTTTTATTTCTCAAAAAATATGATTTGCCTATTTTTATATACTAATAATTGTACATAATTTAAAAGCATTGACTTATTGCAAATATAATTTTTTTATTTTATTTTCTATATTCTACATATAAGCATCTCAAATTTGAAAACATTCCGATTTCTATTAAAATGTAGTGCACTTTCAAAACCTGACAATAATTGAGAAATATTACAATAGACAAACATCAATATGATAATAGATAAGTGTAAATATATTTTTCCATTGCATTAGAAATTAAAGATATAAAAAAATTCTCTCAAAATCATGCTTGCTTCCGTTTTTCAAAAAAAAAAAAAAAAATACTGAGCTTCTATGGAGCCACAAAAAGAAAAAAATGTAGCTCTTGAATTTAGAATGTCAGCGGAGCATTTCAGAAAAGATGTTGGGATTTTTCAATAGATTATTACAATCAGAATTAAAATAGCAGACATTTATTTTTATAGTTGTACAATGACAGCAGTTATTATAATTTTATAATGTTCTTAATTTATTTTAAAACTATGTTTTACTGAAAAGTTTTATATTCTTTGTACTCTGTATTTTACAATGAAAATTTAATTTTAATGACTATCATGTAGATGATTGACACCCCAAGCAAAAACACACTACATTATAAAACAACACATTTTACTCCATCTAATAAAATGATATGCTTTAAGATAAATAACATAGTGCTGGCAAGCAAGATAACGAGCCATTATCTCTACAATGCTGAAAATAGCAAAATGAAGAACATGAGAAAAGCCAGGTTCTCAGGAATTCTGTGGCAACACAGCGCATAATTCTTTCTGTTTATCATAGCGACTTGAGCAATCCATTTTTGCCATTCTCATTATAGCCGACTCTATAGGTAAGAACTTATCAGCACTACAGATACGATCTATTTAATATGTTTTTGATTGCGATCTTTGATTGGGACATCATAAGCCTTATTCGGTTCCAACACTGAGCAGTTTTAGAATGATTCAACAAAGTTGCATGATATTTTCAATGACGTTAGTTGCAATGACGATGCTAAAAATGACAAAATGTTTTGTAACCGTTATGAAACTATTCACTAATAAAACCAAAACAAGCTTTAGGTATATAATTTTATGTAATACATATTCCCAAGAACAATTTTTAATATTTAGATGATTATTTTGATACATTCTATATATCTGTGTAAAAATATTAAATATTATAATAATCATCCACAATTTTTTTAAACATAAGTATACAGAGTCGGAAAGTCCCCAAGGTTCATCGGCCGTTACGTGAGAGCGATAAAGAAAGTAATAGAAATCCGTGCGATAGAGAAAGATGGCTTTAATGAAGGTGTCTAATAGTCACCGCCCATTTCGCCCTTCCACAAATAAGAAGTGGATCTTATTTGTGGAAGGGCGAAATGGGCGGTGACTATTAGACGCCTTCATTATAGCCATCTTTCTCTATTACACGGATTTATATGACTTACTTNCCATATTCATGTTGTTTATCATCAAGAAATTAAAATGCTGATGGAAGATGGGAAAAAGTTGTGATTAGCGATAAAAGTTTTAATATTATTTTTATTTTTCGTTTTACTTATTTTCTCTTATAAGAGAGTACCAACAGTCTATTTACTAAAAATAAATAATAAAATTAATCGTAACAGAGATGGACTTCCTCAGAAGCAGCAGACGATCCAGACTGGAAAGAGTAAGAAATGAAATCATTAGAAGAGATATGACCATCGAGACGCCTTCATTATAGCCATCTTTCTCTATTACACGGATTTATATGACTTACTTTATCGCTCTCACTTAACGGCCGATGAACCATGGGAACTTTCCGAGCCTGTAGGTCCCTATTCAAAAATTCATTTGTAAAGCACAATAATTATGACCTTAAAGAAAAATTCAAGATTTTAACATTTGAATTTTTCTTATAAACAAAGTTCTGGTTAAGTGGATATTAATCTAACAGAAATAGTTATATAAATGCATGAGAATCCAAAAGTATAACTTAATTGATTCGTTAAGAGTTAAATATAGCTAAAAATGTTTATAATCTAATAAATATGATTTGGTTAATCATTTGTGGGATTCCCATGCATTAAATAAAACACAAATAAACACACACCTAAGCAAATATTTGCCTACTAAATTCGTATATATGAAATAAACATATTTCTGAAAATGTTAATAGTCCAATTAAATAAGCCTTTAAATCGAAATTTTGTCAACTTGGCTGAATTTTTGATATGAGTTAGTTTAAGGTATATTATAACAATAAGTGAGAGTAATTTTTTGTTCAACCCCCGGCCAAGGGTGGAAAAAGATAAAACAAAGGGCTTTTTCAAGATAACTCAAAAAGGGTAAG